TTGGACTCGATGATCTCTGGAGGTCCCTTCCAACCCCTACGATTCTGTGATTCTGTGATTCTGTGATACTTCTTGACTGTGTAAGTTCTTTTTTTCACCTACTAGGTTCCTATAACAGTCAGCTATCACAAGGGTAAGCTTCCTTTAAAATGCAGTCCCATATTAAGCAACTCACAGACCTGCAACTCGAAGGTCACAAGCCAATGCCAGTTCTAGTCCACCGCCCAGTGCGTAGCCATCTATTGCAGCAATGGTGGGTACAGGCAGGGCAGCTAGAGGAGACAACACAGGTTATAAAGTTTTCTTCCCAAAACTATGTTACACTCACTTCTGGAATTTAAAAGCCTAAATTTAAAGCGTTTAGTAGTTCTCTATTCTGGTTGTTCTGCTGTTCTCGCTGGTATTTCAGTCAGATTCAACTTTGGTATTTCTCTAGGGAGAATAGAACAGTTCTTAAATAGGGAAAGAATATTGATCCAAAAAAAGAGGAGTGGACAGCAGCAGGTATAAACACCCTGACACTATCAAATACATTCAGAAGTCCAAGTCCCTCCTTCTTAGGTCACCATCATATGAGTGCTTTTGAGCACATCACTTACTTTGTCTAGCATTGTTTCTCAAGGATTACATGGAATTCTATACAGAATGCTTCATTATTAGCAGATACTAATATGTGTATCTGTCTGCTGCTCTTCATCTTAGAAAATTCAGTATTGAAATGTATCTTGTTTGTTGAGCAGCAGCAGCATAGTTGGTAATCAGATCTTTGTATCAGGTATAAGCAGGAGCCATGCAGGGAACCTCTCCTAAATGGTGGGGCTGGCACCCTACTCCTCCCACAGAATTTCTGTCAGTCTTCTAGCTGAGATAAACCAATTTCACAAACCAATTTCATCCATGAGATTTCTCAGCCTTTTAACAAAGTGTCCAACTTCTGCATCATCCATCTTTTCACGCTCCTTTAAGTCTGCACCTAAATCAGAAGAAAGAAAAAGGTGAGAATGCTTTTTTTTTTTTTTTTTTTTTTAAATACAATCTGAGCAGCACACAGCCTTAGGAGCCATGGATTTTTAAACACAGTTTGCAGACTCATTACCTACCAGCACAAAACACACCCTTCACTTTGCTCTTGAACACCACCACACGAACTTTCTCATCGAAGCGGAGCTGTTCCAGAGCACCAAAAAGCTGTGAGGGAGAGGTAAAAAGAGAAAAGCTTTAAGTATATGGATGTATATACTGAAATCATAGCAAGCTTCTAATCTATGCTTTTTTTTTTTTTTTTTTTTTTAAATTTCTCTGCTAGTGCCAGGAGTTTCCCAGAAATCACACAATCCCTTTGTGACAGCCTCAGGATGTTTCCCATCTCCTTCTCATCTCCATTCAAAGATGGATCATTGCTGTCCCTTACACTCTTCTGCCTATCCAGGTATGAGCCAAACTGTCTCTGTAAAATATTATCAAAGATTATGAAAGCTCTGCTAAAGTCTGATAGTGAGCACATCTTTGCTGTGATTACTCCAGTGAAGACATTAACTCTCATCTCAGTTAGCTGACCTAACTCCACTACTGGGCTGCTCCCCACCTGGAGTTACTGTGATACAAACCCATGGCAATCCTTTCCCTCAGGATAACCTGCCTTGCCCCAAACACAGCCTATGCCAACCTTCAGAAGGAGATCAAATCTTGCCTTCATCTTTCCCACAGCTATTCTCATCACATTGATTAATTGATTGTGATTCCAAGCATGTTTACAGGCCAGGCCCATACTCACTTCATCTACAAATACTTTTCCCAAAGAATTTCTTGCATGGGGTCGGTTCATTAGGATTTCAGCAATACCTTAGGAGACAAGTTCAGTTATATTTCATTTAATTCTCTGCCACATTAAATCAAATGGGAACAATATCTGCATATGCTGCATCTTTCCTGAAAACGTATACAAAGTATATTCTAAAACACCTGATTAATGTAAAAGTGGCAATGCCACAAAACACAGGAAAGTTAGTGCCTATGAAATCCTGTATTCAAGTGACTGTAGAATTCAGTGACAATACTAGTAATACAAATAAGCAGATCTTTAAAAAAAAAATAATCACCTCCAAGGATATGTTGCAGAAGCACTGCAATAATGGAAAAAACATCTATATGACATTTCTGTTTCAAACGCTACTTAATTCAGGTTTTATTTTATAGTCTGTGTTCAACTCCATCTCTTAACGTGAAAATGAACATCTCGGGGGAACTGCAGTTTGCACGAGATGGACAGACTGTGCTCGTGCTCCATTTCGCGTCGAGTTCATCAGCTCGCTGGGAGAGGCGCTCAGAGTTCCTAAATCCGAGCAGAACAGCGGCACTGCGATCTGTAAATCATGGGCTGCCTCTCTGGGCACGAAAATCTGGGCACGAAAAGCGCCCGCGGCCGCGTCCCTCTCCGCTCCCGGGCCGGTGCCTTCCCAGGGCCGGCAGGAAGGGCCGCTCCCGAGCTCACGGGACGCGCTGCTCAGGGCGGGGCGAGGCACGGGCACGCAACGCACAACTTCCGAGCGCGCTGGGGACACCGGCCCGGCCCCACGGAGCGCTCGTGCCCTGCGCCCAGCTCCGGGCTTCCCGCAGCGGGGCCGGGCCAGACTCACCGCCGCTCTCCCCGCCGATTTGCACCTCCGCGCCGCGCCGCGGGACGGCCGTATGGATCCCCCCGCGGCCCCAGCGCAGCGCCGCCCGCCCCAGCCGCATCATGGCGCCGCTCGGTCGGCTCCGCCCTCTGGGGGTCGGGCCCGGGCCGCGGCGCCTTTAAGAAGGAGGGGCGGGAGGGGGGAAGAGAGGAACTGCTGCGGTTAAGCCCCGCCCCCTCCGAGCGGACCCGCGCCCGGCGGCGCTAAGCCCCGCCCCCCCGCTCTGCCGTCGTCCGCCGTGTCTGCGAGGAGCGAGGTGGTCCCGCAGCCATCATGCGGCGCCGGGTGTTCGTGGTGGGCGTCGGTATGACCAAGGTACCGTGCGGCCCCGCGGGGGGGGAGAAGGAGAAGGAGAAGCGTAAGGAGAGAGCGCGCGAACTACGAGCGCCCGACGGTGCGTGGCGCTGTCAGTGCCGGCGCTGCCCGTTCCTTCGTTCCGTCGTTCCTTGGCCGTGCGGGGCGGCCTGGCGGCGGCGCCCAGAGCTGCGCGGACTTTGGCCGCGTGTTTTTGGGTCGCTGAAATGGCTTGCGATAGCAAACGGGATTTAAAACGGGTTGCTCACAAACGCGTCCCTTGACAGCTCTTAAGTCATAGGGTCACAGCATATCTCCAGGTGGATCGTTGAGGCCGGTACTCCAGTTTGAGCGAAGGATGTGTTAAATCTCAGTGATTTGTTCTGTCGTTTTTTTTCTTGTCAGTTTGCAAAGCCCAGTGAGAACAGTGTTGATTATCCCGACCTGGCTAAAGAGGCTGGTAAGTCAGCGGTAAAAAAGCGTTTAGCTTGACCACCAACTCTATTTTAAGTCAGATGCAAAAAGCAAATCTAAAACTGATAAGAAAGACCACTTGAAAGTGAATCCCAGCTGCCCTGCAGCCTTACGGGACTGAAGTCAAAAGGATGCCTTGACACTGAATCAGACACATCCTTTCCTATCTGTGCATGGTTCTCATGCTTCCCTGGGAGCAGCCGCAGCCTTTGTGCGTGAACACAGGACTGATTGCTTGGCATTTGCTGGGAAAGGAGCTTGCTGAGAACTAAGAACACCACAAGCTTGTCCTAATGAGAGTTCAGATGCAGAACTTTTGGACCATTCATGTCCTATAATGGAGAACTTTCACCGCTCTGCTTTTTGTGCAGACACACGAATCACACACGCTAAGCTAAGCCTGCTTGTTATGATTGTGAGAGCTGCTTTTTTTCAGAACTTATTTCTTTTTCTCCCCAACTTCTAAAATTCTTTAGGCCAGAAGGCTTTAGCTGATGCTGGGATTCCGTATTCAGCAGTGGAGCAGGCCTGCGTGGGTTATGTTTATGGTGAGTATCATCTTGTGCCTGGGACGTGTGAGATCTGTGACACTCACAGATGTGGGTAAAGTTTATCCACGTCTGTGTGGAGAAATGAAGGGGGATCCCATCAATTTCCCACCTGTTTCAGATAATAAAAAACTCCTGGTTTTTAAAGTCTGATGACTTGTATCTTTCCAAGGTTTTTCTGTTGTGTGTGGCTGAGAGAGTGTCAAGATGACAGCTCAGACTTTCAGGCTTGAACAGTGGCATTGTGTTAATGTTCAGTCTTGTGTTAATGTTCTGTCTCTGCATACAGGCGACTCAACCTGTGGACAGCGGGCCATCTATCACGGTTTAGGTTTAACTGGCATTCCTATCATTAATGTTAACAACAACTGTGCTACTGGATCTACTGCTTTGTTCATGTCCAGACAGCTGGTAGAGGGAGGTGAGTTGTTCTGCTCCTCGGCTGAGTAACTCAGTATTTATTTCTACAAATACAACTTCCTTGTTCTGTTTCTTAAGTTCCTTTGTGGATTCTGCTACTTTCTTGCACCTAATTGCTTATGTTTCTGTAACAACAACTATAGGAAGGTTCCGTACGATTATTCCAGTATTACTGGCAGAGATACAAGTGCTTGGTCATATAAGGTACTTGTTCTCAAACTGTGGAGAATTGTTCTAAAATAAACCTAAGTGTTCTGGTGATTTTTTTAGTATTCAGTATTAATGTTTTCGTAACAGAACCATCCCCATCCCAACTGGACTCACTTTTAAAAATTGAAAAGGGAGGAAGAATGGCTGGTAATGGATATTTGTAATGGATATTTATTGTAATGGGAAAGTTGATTATACATTTTGTCATTTATAGCTACATCGTGTTCTGAATAACCAAAAATTTTATTTTAAGGTTTGGCAGACTGTGTTCTGGCACTTGGCTTTGAGAGAATGGCAAAAGGATCCCTTGCTTCAGGTGTAAGTGTCTGAACATCTTACCTATCTCATTGTATTCGCAGATGGAAAACACCTCCTCATTCCCTGAGACATTCTCATAAATGTGAGCTGCTTTGGCATGCTGCTGGAGATAGTTAGAGATAGTTATAAAATATACCTTTTTTTTTTTTTTTTTTACTCATAGAAACTTGTAATGAGTTTTATGATTCTGATTGTAGCTATGATGTGCAGATTTAGTGTGGAATGTTTTAGAATTAATTTGAAGTAGTCCATCATGTTTTTAGTACTTTGCAGAAATATATTTAAGGCGGGGTTAATAGAGAATAATGAAATTATGATTTACTTTATAGCTATTTCTCTTCTTTTCAGTTTTCAGACAGAACAAATCCAATGGACAAACACTTAGAAATAATGATAAATAAATACGGCTTAGCAAGTGCTCCAGTAACACCGCAGATGTTTGCAAGTGCTGGCAAAGAACATATGGAGAAATATGGTATTGTTAAAGACACTTATTTTCTCTATTTTCACTTTAGGGAGCATTGAATATTCAAGTAGAGTCATCTGTTATCTAAAACTCAACCACCTTTCTTAGAATTATGTTGAATTAAAAGAAAGCTTTGATGCAGTCTTTCGTAAAGTTGTTTGTGAAGTTCAAATTCTTATGACACTAACAGAGAATTTAAAAAGTTATGTTAGAATGTTGTGTTTAAACCAAGTATTCCAACACGGCTTATTTTCTCCTTCCAGGGACAAATCCAGAGTACTTTGCAAAAATTGCATGGAAGAATCACAGCCATTCAACCAACAACCCGTGAGTAAAGTGCTCCAACTCCATACTGAGCATATGTTGCCTGTACACAATTCCTGCAAAACAGATATAATTTTTAGAAACACTTAGAATATGTTGTTTATTATAGCTGGTATAAATTCTAAATCCATTGTCTTGTACTTAGTAAAAACAGCTATATAGTTAGTTGAATGATAGTGAGTTATTACTAATGTCTGCTCCTAAGGACTGTACTAAAACTCAAATGGCATCTTTGCTTTCCACAGGTATTCCCAGTTCCAGAAGGAATACACATTAGATGAAGTTCTGCAGTCTCGCAAAATTTTTGATTTCTTGACTGTCTTACAGTGTTGGTAAGGAGAGAACTTTGCATTGGGAAAGAAATCTTGTTAAGACAAATTCGGTAGTTCATCTATTTAAGTAAAGTTTGCTTACTGTTAAATTAAAAGTTACAGTTCGTTTTAAGTATTTTCTAATTTTTTAGATGTCATATTATTCAAAGTTTGTATATATATTGCTGCACTGGGCAGCATTAAAAACTGGAGGCCTTCAGCAAACACTTGGGGAATTTGTAGTTACAATTGCATCAGTCAAAATGCATTTTTTCCTTTGTTTTCGAATGTAATGCTATGGAAGATCAACATTAATAATTCAGAATGATGACATTATTTTTCTTTCCATTAGTCCAACATCAAATGGTGCTGCAGCTGCAATTTTGGCTAGTGAGGACTTTGTGAAAAGGCATAAGTTACAGCCTCAAGCTGTGGAAATTCTAGCCCAGGTGATGGCTACTGATTACCCAAGCACATTTGAAGAGAACAGTTGTATGAAGATGGTAGGTGTGTGGTCCAATAGTCCATAATAATAGAGATTTTTTTTTAATACCTGCAAGTCCTAATGATACCATAGAATATCAGTCAGCAAGCAAGCAAACTGTGATTTGGGCAGCTGAAGTGGGTAAACAGATAGTTACGAAATAACACTAAGAAATAAATAAACATTAAAAATCTATTTAATTATTTAAAGGCTACTTAATAGAAACGTGAACTGGAAGAAATGTAGTTTCTCCTGCAAAGCTATTTGTTTAATTTCTCTGTTCATAAGATGAATAAAACTTAAATCCATTTTCCTTATTTAACATAATTCTGGAGCTGAAATAACCTGTTGTTTGGTCATGAAGGGCTATGGTAGCAGATGCACTAAAGTGAATGAGAATGCCACCTCCAACAGGTTTTCTTCACTTGCAGGATAAATAGCAGCACATTAAAATGAAGCGAAGGAATGGAATAAATAGCTGTTTCTTTTAATGATATTTTAATTTCTTGCAGGTTGGTTATGATATGACTAAAAAAGCTGCAGAAAAATGTTTTAAAAAAGCAGGCCTAAAACCTACGGATGTCGATGTGATTGAACTCCATGACTGTTTCTCAGTTAATGAGTTCATTACCTATGAAGCTCTTGGACTCTGCCCAGAAGGTAACAGCATCAGTGAAGCTCCTTGTTTTACTAAAATGAAAAGCGTTAACGAATATTTTTTTACTTCTTCATATAATTAGAGTTGTGTACTGGACAGATATTATATATTTGAATACCATATTAGTTAACCTGGAGGAAAAAGCAAGCTGTGTGTATAATAACATAAAGAAGATGTGCAAATTGTGGGAAGTATTTAACAAATTGGTGTATTACTGTGATTTCTACAGAAGTACAGAAGGCAACTTAAAGTGCTGGACAACTGTATGAAATCACGCAGCAGGCTTGTACAGGAGTGGCTCTTGAAGCAGGAGAAGGAAACTAAGGGCTCTGGGATTGCAGTATCTGATGCAGTCTTTCCCTAATTTTGTTATGTGATTTTGAGAAAACTTCATACTTTCGTCACTAGTTGATGTATTTTACTAAGTCTGAGTGTTCTCAGTGAGACAACTTCATAGGCCTTCAGAAAACACAGTTATGCAGCCCTCCAGTATCGATGATAATTTTGCAAGTAATTCCTTTCAGAGATAAGAAAGCAGAAATATTTTCACAGCGGTCACTAATTACAACTAACCTTTCTTTTACAAAAGAAAACCCATACATTTCATGGTAGCTTCCTTAGTATAACAACTAATCACTGCACTGTGTTGACCATATCACAATGCTGTGTATTCTCAACACAGCTGAGCAGCTAATTAAAACAAGCCTCTGCATCAGGCACTCACACCTGGCTCCCCTCCCGTGTTCCCTGTCTCCATTCACGTAAGCTAAGTCTCATGAATGCTGCTGGGCTCAGTTTGGTCCACCCTTGTAAAATCTGTGCTGGTGTATTTCTGAGGTTTTGGCAGACAGAAAGCATTTGCAGCATCTTTGGTTTGTGATGCCAGAACTGAAAGATGATGTTTTAAAAAAAACACTGAGCGTTTCTCTTTTTCTAACTGCTGTTCCATCAGGAAAAGCGTGTGACCTGATCGACAGAGGAGACAACACTTACGGAGGGAAATGGGTCATCAATCCTAGCGGTGGCTTGATTTCCAAGGGACATCCCCTCGGTGCTACAGGTAGCAGAACGCGTTTCACTCGGTCGCACCTTGAGGCACGGAGCAGTTTGGGGGCAGGCACGTGCTTCCCACTGCCGTTTGTATGGGCAAAAGCGGGGATGGCTTCAATAACTTCCATTCGGCGTCGTGCTTTAAAACCGAGGTGCTTTAAAACCGAGGTGCTTTAAAACCGAGGTGCTTTAAAACCGAGGTGCTTTAAAACCGAGGTGCTTTAAAACCGAGGTGCTTTAAAACCGAGGTGCTTTAAAACCGAGCTTTTGGGGAGATTGACCGCGGCCGAGATCCCAGCTGCGCCGCCCCTCCTTCCCGCCCACACGCGCTCTGTGCTCGATGTTTCAGGCCTGGCGCAGTGCGCCGAACTCTGCTGGCAGCTGCGCGGCCTGGCCGGGAGGCGGCAGGTGGGCGGCGCGCGGCGGGCTCTGCAGCACAACCTGGGCCTCGGCGGGGCTGCGGTGGTGACGCTGTACGCCATGGGCTTCCCCGGAGCCGCCAGGTGAGCGCCGGGCCTGGGGGGGGGGGCAGAGCCCCGAATGGGGGCGTGCGTGCGGCGCGGGAAGCGTGAGGGCGATGCTTTCTGAGGGCGATGCCGCAGGCCGTGCTCTGCTTTTCTGTGGCGTTGAGGTTTGTAATACTCCGTGTGAGCACAGGGAGCTGTGGCGGCCGTGCGCTGCTGGGTACGACGTTCATCTCCGGGCGCTGAGGGGCAGCGCCTTCCTGTCAGCTGTGGGAAGCTTTGCAGGTGAAGGTTCTCCCGAGGAAATGCCTTTATTTCCTATAGGCGGCTTCACTTTCGTTGGCATAGAGTTGCCTTCGTTGTTTCACAGGTGCATCCCGAGGCAGAGGCTCACAGTGGTGGAGTTGGCAGCCGGTGCCTTCCCAGCACAGCTCTGCTGCCCTGGCTGTGGGCACCTGCAGGGACAGAACACCGCAGCACTGGGGCCTCATCCCCTCTGCAGCCCATGTTTCACCTGCACTGAAGGTGTTTGCAGATCCCTGGTTCTCTGAAAGGCTTTGGCACGGGGAGTTGCATCAACGTGTCAGAGACTTTGGAATGAAAGTGCAGCTGATGTGTTGAGGCAGCAGTTACGTAACTGAGCGGTGCTGCGCGTTGTGTAAGTGAGGGAAAGGCAGTGGCATTGCACGGCTATGGGATGTGCACAGACCCAGTCATTAGATTCAGATCCTGCCTGTAATCTGTGGGTTTGGTAAGAGTTGCCAAGAATTTAAGATGTAAGAGATAGCAGAACTTGATTTGTTTTGGATTAGTTCTTAAAACAATGCTGCTTTTTTTTCTTGTAGGTACCTTGCAGCTTTAAATCCTGCAGGTACATCCTTCGTTTATTAGCAGCTATGTATTGTCTTCAAATGACACAGTCCCTACAACTGCTCCCCTAGCAAACATCTACTGGAGTGCTTTGCTATTAGCACCACGCAAATAAGTTCTGGCAGCACTTCTTCAAGTGATTCTGTCACTTGAGCGGTGTCCATGCCTGACCACAGCTTTGAACTCTGCTTCGAAGAGAAGAGATGATGATAATTACAAACTTGTTTTTTCCAGCTGCGTGAATTGCTGTTTCTTTGGATATTTCTATACTCAGCTAATCTCCAGGTGCCCCTGCACACATGAGGAATTAGTTGTCATGCTCCTGTCAGGCTGTGCAGGGAAGAGATGTGGGCTGATGGCTCTGCAGAATGAGGAGCAATGCTCAGTACCTTCAGCAAACAGGTGCATGTGAATTGAGAGGGAGAAGGGGAAGCAGTACTGATGGTCTCTGAATAACTGCTGGCTTGTATGAGCTGGGGCAGGACATTTAGCATTGGATTTGATGATGGCTTGTTGAGAAGGTACACAAAATGCAGGAATGTTCTCAGGAGGAAAGTGGGAAGTAAATCAGTGCCCAATGACTGTTAGGGCTGAAGCTTTTCTTGCAATTGAAAGTCCCCAAAAATAGATACTGTAGGCAGTTAATTTTTTACATAGACAAAATAAAAGTTGTAATCAACTGACTGGCTATTTAACGTATCATCCTGCTTCATAGAAGGTACTTGAAACGATAAAAATGATTGAGTCTCTCTCTTCTGGGGAAAGAAAAGACTATTGGCATATTAGCAGTGATGGGGGAGTGAATCTTTGTAGCTTCCACTGTAAATTGAAGTTAGAAATAATGTTATCTACAAAATGTTCTTAAGCAAGGTGGCAGAATTTAGGACCGTTTCTGGGAATATAATAACTGATCTTCTGGACCCATTCTGTAAAGGAGTTTATTTGATCACCAAAAAAAAAATGTAGTCCATGTAGTCCTTGAGGTGGTGCTTGTGCTGTTTCTCTCTTTGCACACAGTGTGGCGATAGAGTTGGCTGATTGATCTGGATGGTTTACTTTCCTTGCCACAAATCCTGTGTCTGCACATCTGAAGCAGCTGTGTGCTGGAGGTGGCTGTGACACTGCTGTCTCACCCTCAGAAAGTCAGCTCTGCTTGGATTTAGTGGGGTTGCTCTGTACTGCTGAAGCGTTTCAGTGTGGCTCTTCTCAGTGGTGTTGACCTGTTTGAATTTGAAGATGTTGAAAATGTGATTAAAAGTTTTTTCTTTTTTTCCCTCCAGTGATGGCCGACTTACGGCTGTGCCTCTCAGCGCTGCTGTTGATGGATTTAAGTCACACTTGGTCTTCAAAGAGATAGAAAAGAAGCTCCAAGAGGTATTCTGGGACTACTTTTACTTGTAGTGCTTTTTTAATGTATGACAGGACATGTGCAAAACCTGGAGGGAATACAGTAGCATAAGTCACCTTTTCAGTGCTGCTCATTCAAACAGTTCCCTGTCAGATCTCTTTTAGTTCTGTACCATAAAGCATTTTTTTCAGACAGCCCTTACCTGTGCAAGAGTATTTGAGATGAGACACATCTGAGCCACATACAAGGAACTCACACTAACATGTTTGTTATCTATTGCTTAGTAAGCATGAGTAAAAGAAGAAATCACACTTTGGTAGACAGCAAGATAAGACTTTTGAGGCAATTGTCTTTTTTTGTTTTGTTTTGCTGGATAGATTTTAATAGAGAAAGATGGCCATGGGTGTGTTTCTCTCAGTGGTTGTTTAAATGAAGGCTAGTAGAAGGAAAGGAATAGCTCTATAAGTAGTAGAAGTTGTTGGTAGAAAGGGTGAAGTTTTTTAAAGGACTTTCTCTTTAACTGTTTTAAAATTCTTCTGCAGAAAATGAGTAATGTGCATATTACGTGTCCATTACAGGAAGGAGAGCAGTTTGTCAAGAAAATTGGTGGTGTCTTTGCCTTCAAAATAAAAGATGGTCCTGGTGGGAAGGAGGCGACTTGGATAGTAGATGTGAAGAATGGTAAAGGCTCAGTAGCAGTTAATGCAGGTCGGTGTTATTTTGTCATGTCACTGCAGAGGATGAATGATTGTAAATGTTACAGATGTTATAAATTCCTGTTCTGCTGAAGCGATAGTGATGTTGAACAAAACTGGAGTTAGTGTTACTTCAGTTATAAACTTTTCTTAATACTGACACTTTTATTCCATGGTGTTTAGGACCAAGATTTCTCCTCCTGTGAATTCTGTGTGCGTAGGTGCATGTTTTGTTAGGGTTACCTGTCATTTAACTCCCACAGGGACCAGGAGGGAAGTAAACAGAACTCTTGTTTTGTGGGTTTGTGTGTGTGTTTTTTTATGTTAGCTTTTGTTCTGTTTTGTCAGGTGCTTTGTGGGAGACACCGGTAGGTGGTAGACTGGTCTATCTTGTCTAGTTCCTTCTCTGCAGCTAGTTAAGCAATAAAACTTATCTGATTTCAATGCTGTACTAGCTGATGTAAACTTCAGGTCCATTTTAAAAAGGATGGACATAAATAAGGACTGGGTGGTGGTGGTGGGTTTCCAATTGGAGACAAAGGATTTGTACCTTTGCCATGGAAGTGTCTTGTCTAATACATGCATTCTTTTAATGTAAAGATAAAGCCAAAGATGACATTCTGTTCTCAAAATCTTGCCTGCCCGTGAGCCTGCATTGTAAAGCTTTTAACTAAAAATGTGAAAGGAGATTGATTTGGAATTTGTTTATCTGAGATATTATGGAGAGAAAAGTACTCCTTTCTGTTGTGTGGGCAAGATTTTATCAAAGACTTAGCTTTAGTAATACAGTGACTGGAGGAAAAGGTGTGTGAGGTTTTTAGCCCTTTACAATATGTATTAACACTTAAATCTGGATGTTTAAAAATATCTAGTCATTTCTTGTAAGAAGATGCAAAAACCTTCTGGATTTCAATTAATTCAAATGAGAGCTTTTGGAATGCTTGTGCTCCCACTTGAGGAGAAGGTAGTGAAATTCAGTAATAAGTATCTTTGTAAAGCATTAAGGAAAGCACATTCATTTTGTGTTGATTATAATACTAGCTTGGTGAAACGTAAGATGATTGTGAACACTTGTAATCACATAGAATATTAATTACAAGTAGATTTTTTTTTTAATGGATGGGTTTGCTTAGCACTTTTCAGAAATCTCCATCTTCTTCAGCATTGGGATGGTCTGTGCTACAATACAGCTCAGATGCATGTTGGCTCTTAAGTGATCTCTTATTGATGTTTTTTAATGGCCTTTATTTCAAAGTGCTTCAGGTACCATTGTGCTAATCTGGAGTGTTGGCAGATTCTTTGGGGATTTGCAGCTTGTGTTACTGTTCTGTCTGTTGGAATCTTCATAGTTATCTCTGTTTTACAGATAAGAAAGCAGACTGTACAATTACAATGGCTGACACTGACTTATTAGCTCTGATGACTGGCAAAATGAATCCTCAGACAGTAAGTGTAACATAGATGAAAGTATGATAATACTGATATTTTGGGAGCTTTTTTGAGCATATTTCAGCTTAAATTATTTGAATAAATTCCTTCCTCTAAAACTGTGTGGCTGGGAGGGCTTTCTGATAACACAAGTAATGTGCAGTACCGAGTCTATTCTCTTCAGGTATCGTAAAGATAGTAAGTATACTTTCTCAGGTTTCTGTTCTTCCTTTTAGTGTCAGAAAATAACAATTGCTGATGAATGCCAGGAGTCTGATAGAACTGTTGGAATTACAGTATTGCAGGCCAAGACCTACAGGAGTATAACAACACATAACTTCTGGGAGTATGACTGGGGTCATGAGTTGCATTGCTATTGCATTTCATGCTATTTTTTTTTCTCTCTAGGCCTTCTTTCAAGGCAAATTGAAGATATCTGGGAACATGGGCATGGCAATGAAACTTCAAAACCTACAACTTCAGCCAGGGAAAGCTAAACTTTGAGCTTTTGAGCTTGCTGAAGTAACTTCATACTCTTTACAGCGAATTAGAATGATGCTGGATGTTGGTAACGTGACACAGACTGGGCTTATTTGGACCTCTCATCTAAAATCAGTGATTAGAGACCTTAACACTTAATAAATTCCATCAGTTTGTAAATGGCAAAGATTTTTAGGCTAAGCTTGAGGCAATAACTCTTGCAAATGGTTTATGGTTTGTATTATGAAAACAAATTTTTCTTTTAATCTAAGAAAAATTTAATGAAACTCAGAGTTGATGGAGACTGCGTAGTGTTGTTCAGGTTAGTTGGGAAGAGAGTAAACAAGGTTGCAAATAGTTTGATTTATCACTTAAATTTGCATTTTTAAAAGACTGTAATAGGAGATCATACAAACGCTTTCAGACTTCTAACAAATCTGCTGCTTCTTAAATTGAAATGGTCTTATAAAGGGGGATGTCTAACAATGTTTTTAAAATAGCCTTCAGGAATTTGCTATAAAATACTTTTCTTATTATTACTTTGGAGTTAAAGCTATCCACAGGTAGGTAGAGATTGCTTTGAGATTTACAGAATTTGATAATACTTAACCTTGATCAAAGGTAAGGTTTGTCAGGAGAGCAGAGAGGGAATATAATCAATGTTTACCTGTTTTCTCCTGAGAAAATCTGGTGTTGGTTGTTATAAATTTCTTATCTGTAAAAGCTTTAACTTCTGTTTTGGGAACATGTATTCTAGTTGGAAGTTTAATAGAAAATTAAATATAATTTTCCTGTTCTTCTGTGCATCTCTTCCTTGGATTTGTAAACAGATTTCATATTCATGCACTAAATTGAATATTCTATACAGATTGTCACTTAGGGCTTCCATGGTCATCCATTTTTTTTTTCTTCCTCAGCTTCTGCCCATAGAGGCTTCATCAACTCTGCCTCAGTCCATTGTGCACACTTGCCATATGTGGGTCAGGACTGAGGAACTTTCACAACTTTCATCATAGAGATGGCACCACCATCATCCCACTGAGATCCAGGTTGTGCTGCAGCACCAGCTGTGCCCCACTGCTGCCTCCTGGCTAGACCATGCTGTGGGCATGGTGCTCACATGCTGCCATCTTGGTGTGTGCCTAAGAGCCACACTTCTGGGCTGTTGGTGTGAGTGTCCCTGGAGGTCAGGCTATTGGGGCAGTGTGCACCTGATGGAGCTGTGGGTGTCCCTGTTCATTGTGGGGGGGGAATTGGACTAAATGACTTTAAGGGTTCTTTCCAACTCAAACAATTCTATGATTCTACTGTTAAAAATGGCCATAAGAATATAGTGCTATACTATAGTGGAATTGAAAACTCCTCAAATGCAAATTGTATTGTGATTGGAATTGCTGTTGGCCTAGCTAGTTAACGGAAGGAACGTACTGCAGATGTGTTCTGTGATCTTCCTAATAATAAATTAAATGCATGCAACATGATTTGAGAACATTAAGACTTTACCACTCAGATAACTTGGAAGATATTTTCTTAGGAGGCTTGAAATGAATATTAATTCTGTTTCAGTGCAGCCTTGGTTTTAACATTGTTTACTCTTTGTCTCACTGTACTATTCTGCAGTTACGATTCAGTTTCACTGGCAAATTTCTTCCCTTTAACTGTCTGCAGAACTCCGTCCCTACCCATAAACAGCTACATGGGCAAGGCATGGGCAGAATCTGCATTGAATGCAGTGAATCTTATGCGTTCCTAAGAGAAACATGGAAAGAATGAGTAAGAAGTTTTGTAATTCCATCCATGTCTGGGACTGAGCAGACCACCCCCAGCACCAAGGAGTGTGTGTGCTCACAGGATGCCATGTCCTGGAATGGTTTGGGAACTTGTGTGCCCTTCACTGTGCACAGAGCTGTCCTCATGGCTGCTCGACAGGGAAGGGAACCAACTGCCTGCAGGCATGGCACATCCTGCATTGCATTCTCTTCTCAATCCTCTGCAATTAAGAGAGGACAGATACCAGTAATTGCCTCTGTGTTTTTCACTGACAAGAATTAACAAATCCCTAGCAATGGAATTCTTCCATCACAGATACTCATGCTCTCATTTAACTGGTGCGTTTTTCTTCCCAATTTTCCCAATACTATTTTTTTTAATGCTGGATTGACAGCAGGTGATTGACCTGTTGCAGCTATTTAGATTAAGGTGTACTATTTACAAGGTTTCTTCTCCAGCTTCCTGTCACCTGCTCATTCCCAACAGAGAAGTTGCATTATCCTCACAAATCCCAATGCTCCTCAAGAGCCATCTTGTGTGGGAGAAAGTGAGAGGTTAAAGAACACAAAGGAAAACCTGTGTTTCTGAGAAACAGGAAGAGACAGTGACCGTCTGTTGGAATAATATCAGATAAGTATTTTGAGATCCCAAACTTAACAGAAATAGCCTTTATTATTGTTGTTATATTTAGGAAGCTACCATGAAATTTATGGGTTTTCTTTTGTAAAAGAAAGATTAGTTGTAATTAGTGACTGCTGTGAAAATATCTTTGCTTTGTTATCTCTGAAAGGTATTACTTGCAAAATTATCATCAACGCTGGGGGGCTGCATAACAGTGTTTCCAGAAGGTCTATGAAGTTGTCTCATTGAGAATGCTCAAACTTGGTAAAGTACACCATCTAGTGACAAAAGTATGAATTTTCTCAAAATCACTCAAAAACAATTCAGAGAGAGACTGCATCAGATACTGCAATCCTGGAGCCCCTAATCTCACAAGCTTGCCATGTTACTTCATACAGTTGTCTAACACTTTAATTTGGCTTCTGTACTTCTCTAGAAATCATGGTAATACACCAATTTGTTAAATACTTCCTACAATTTACACATCTTTGTTACTACACAGACAGCTTGCTTTTTCCTTTCATGAGGTTAGCTAATATGGTATTCAAATATATGAGATCTGTCCAGTACACATCTCATATGAAGAAGTAAAAACATATTTGTAATACTTCCCATTTTAGTATAACGATGTGCTTCACTGATGCTATTACCTCCCATGCAGAGTCCAAGAGCTTCATAGGTAATGAACTCATTAACAAAGTAGTTGTGAAATTCAATCACACCGACATTGGCAAGTATTAGGCAGCAGGATGAGCTGGGCCAGGCTGCATATGGGCTGTAGGATGTGCCCCTTATAGGGCCTGCCAGAGCACAGTGAAGAGCACTGGGAGCACTCTAATAGACCATGGAGTACACTGGGTGTTCCTGGAAGGCCTCTAGGGCACTTTAGAGCTCGCTTGAGAGGCTGTATTTGTACTACAGTGGTCTTGAGTAAGCTTGGGGAGTCCTGGAAGTCTTCTGTTAGACACTAGGATGTTTTTATGGCACTCTGTAGAGCACTTAAGAGTTATGAGAGCATTCTGGGTGTCCTCTAGGACACACTGGGAAGCCTCAAGTGTGGCTTAGAGCACATTCAGGGTCTCTGGGAGCACTCTAGCATGCCCTAGAGTACCCTGGGAGGGCTCTGTGGAGGTTTTTAAGTGCACACTAGGAAGCTTCTAGGACAAACTAGAACATTAGGGTGTATTTATTGACCCAGGGAGGCCTCTACAGTCTACAGAAAGCAGTGAGGTTTCTTTGGAGTCTTATGCATCTGAGAGTGCAGAGGGGGCTATAAAACATGCTGGGCAGTTGCAGGAATCTTCTGTGGTGTCTAAAGTACACTAGGGTGCCTTGCTGGCCTCTAGGGCACCCTGCAGCACAGGGACAAGCTCTGGGATTTTGCTAGCTCTCTGCCCATCTTTGCTTACTGGTGGTGGTGAAGTGAGGTGATGGGAAACACTGAAGCATGGTGACACAAAGGAGATCGGTTGCTGGGGCTGCAGTACTTTGTAGCCATGCTGTGTATCCTGTTGGGACAAGGGGTGAATGACTTGTGTGTTACGGCCTTTCCAAAGGGTCAGAAAGGACTCTGTCCCTGTAGGCTTGTTGGGAGATAGAGCTCTGAGCCACCAAGGCTGCTGTGACCCCAGTACAGGGTCAGTTCTATAGGGCCTGCAGCCCTCATATGCCCAGTTCATCCTTGGAACAGGAACTCCATTGCTTCCTGTTTCACAGAGTGCTGAGCTGGATGTCAGCTCTTGTTAAACGGAGAAGAGTAAGACTGCAATTAGCCTGGTGGATAAAAGACAGGGAGAAGTCTCAACTATGAGAAATCAACCCCTGTGGAAGCAAACCACATGTGGAGAGCAAATGCTGGAGAAAGAAAAACAGCAAAACACAACAAGTGGAAAAAATTCACTTATTACCTAAGTAAACAGCAGGGTAATTTGTTGGAGTAACAGCGTGAGCTGTTCTGTACCATATATCTGTAACAAGAATTCATTGCTGAGAGAAAAGGAGATGACTTTATAAGACACTGTGTGGGTGTTCTGGGAAATGTTAGTTATTTACTGTTGGTATAATAACAGAATTATCCTAGTTTTGTTGCAGCAAGCTAAAAGGAACATGTATAGCATAAAGCAAATACAAAATATGTTGGGTCTGTGTCCCATATTTCAGGTAGATTAAAAACAGTCATGGGTTCTTTTTTTTATTATTATTATTTTTTGAATAGTACATATCCTGTGGGAGAACAAACATCTTAAAATTCATTTGGATCAACACACAGATGCCAATAGGCAGTTGGCCAGGCTCTGCTGTGCATGCTTAGGTTTGAAAAATACTTCCTTTCCTGCCTTGGAGACAAAAACGCCTTTTACTCTCAGTGTTTTGATTGTTCATTTTTTAAAGCAAATGACAGCAAGTTACTTAAAAGATTGTTAATAGGCTTTGTTCTCTGCTTTCAATTGAAGGCACATGTCAGCATACAGCACTGGACTCTTGAGGAATGACAGTGTTTATTATTTAAATCGGGTAAATAAAGCTGAAAGTAAAGAATGTTTTATGACATGTTGATACAACTAAAACTTAACTTTCCTGACTGCCTTATGCCTCACTCCATGCTTATCAAAGGAAGCTGATGTAATGCTGCCGACTGAACCTTCCTAAATATGCTCATGCTTTGATAGATCTGCTTACACCTTCTGTTCTCTTCCCTGTTGTTTCTTGACTGGGATGCGCTTTATTTGTTTATGTTGTCCATGTGATCTAAAGAAATGACTGTACCAGAATTTAAACTGAATTTTCAGCTTCATGTTTTGAACCTGGATGTTGCTTTGTTTAGATTGCAGCTACCACTGCAGGGAACATGTGAGGCCACAAAGACTTGAATTGGACTGGAAGTTTTGAATGCAACTGATTCTAAGTTGTGAGTCCTGCAGTGGACTTTCTTTCCTCTGAAAGCAGCAGAAAGCTGTAGTGACAGAAGCAGTGGCTGCCTCACACCATGCTGGGCACAGCCCTGGGCTTAGTGGTGGATCAGAACGCTTTGGGTAGGTTTGATGCTGGTTCTGGTTTTCCTGGAGAACTGTGTGAAGTCTGATGTTGGAACTGGGGACAGGAGATCTTAAGTTTGGGATATGTTGAGTACAAGAGGATAGGGCAGGAGAAAGTGAATGCTTGGAAAGAAACAAACTGTGGGTAATTTGTAGCACAGTGTGTAAAGGTAGTTATCTTTGCAGGTGAGATACCTGATTTTCAATCCTGCTGGGTAGTCTCTGTGCTGTGAGATAGTCCTGAGTTGGCTGTGGCACCTCTCTGTGCCTCTGTTTCCCCATCACTAAAGGAGGTGTAAGACACTTCTTTGGTAATGCGCAGCAGTACCTCTGGATGCTGTGATAGCTAAGAATTCTACAACAAAAACACGGAGAAGAATGCTCTTTTGGAAGAGGGTGAATCCTGCTCTCTACCTCTCCCTCTTGGGCTGCTCCAGCCTCTGCAGTGAGCTGGGGATCCCTCCTGTTCCTCTCTATCTGAAGGCTGGGGTGAGATGGGGGATCTCCCAGCACACTTTTGTCTCTTCCCTGAAAACAGAGTGTTAATCTTCTATGGTTTCAGGGTGCTGTAATAAAGAAAGAGGAGCAAGCAAATCCATTCTGGATCTCTGAATCAGTAAAACTGAGCAGCCAGCTTTGCTTTGTTTTTGTTTTTGTTTCAGTAAAAACATACTTCCCACAATAACTTCTGCAACTTACACGTGGCACAGAGGGGGATCTGTTCCAGTTGATATGAGCCTGGAAGAAGAGAGGGAGGAAATAACTTAATTGCTTTAGACTTCAGTTCAGCTGGAATCGAGAGGAAAGGATTGGTGTGCCTTTCTTTCTATTTTTTTTTTTTTTTTTGGAATACAACAAGAAGGTCGTGTTCTTGGTGAGATCCTCTGCAGATTTTGTGAAGGTACAGTGTGTTGCAGGGCATTCCCAAAACCAGGTGGCTTTGTATTTAAACAAGTAACTCTGCTGTCAGTGACAAACAGCTGCGTTGTTTTCTTGGAAGTATTGGTGCACTTGGAGCATGCTGTGTTATAAACAGCGTGCTCCTCGCTTTTTACCAAGGAGGAAGAATTGGGAAATGTGAGATTTTGGGGCTAACTATGACTGGCGCAAGTTGAGGGGGAGTGCTTTGATGTTAAATGCTATAATATGGGGCTTAGAAAATACAGAAGAGATTGGGTAGACAGGTGTTATGTTAAATGTTAGGGCTTTGCTTCTGAGATGTTTGTCATTTCACGACCTTTGTACCTCTGGTCTCTGAAGATCAGCTGAAGTGTTTAAAATCGGGGAAATATAAGGAGGTACGATGAAATACAGGAAATGCTGTGGATCTGTCTGCTTCTGGCTAATCTGAACCAGGCCCCCAGGGAACGGAAGGACATTCCCACCTGGAATTCAGATTTGGTGTTGAATGTAGCTAAAATGAAAGATCTAGTAACAGGCAGTGCAGCTGCAATGCAATGCTAAAGCACACGCCGCCTCTGCTTCTGTCAAATCCAGCATGCTTTCTTTTGGCATCTCTCACAGATCTTGCAAACTGCACTGACAGAAAGCAGTGGGAGATCGTTTCTTGCCCAAGTCTTTATATTCAGACTATAGCTGCTTCCTCTTTCCTACTCACATTTTCCCATATGGTGACTTTGGAAAATTCCTCCTTGATTTCACTGGGAAGTGCAGCAAACTCGTTGGTAGGGGGTTGCCTGTTCTCTCTCTGCTTCTGCTGCTCACATCTGAAACGGATCTGGCTTGGAAAGAGGAGACTTGCTCTGAGCTCAGCGCGTGTAACTGACATGGCATGAGCTGAGGGACCTGCGGGAGCACGGGAAATGTTCTTCTCCATTCATCTGATCTCTGACAGCAGAGGTGAGTTTTTCAGCACTTCATTGCTCTAAAAGCTGGATGGTCAGACCCCATGCAGCAGCCCGTAAGTCAGAGGGGACGTTCAGTGTAAGTCACAAATTTGCTTAACCTGTTGATATTGAAGGAGGGGATGTTTTCTCAGCTTTGTGTGTGTTGTGAGAGAATGTGTGTGGAGAACAACAGAGGTAAGGTATTTTGAACATGATTCTGCTGTTTACTGAGGTAATTGTAAGCACTCAGAAACTACAGAACTCCTGATGCTTCAGCTCAGTTTTTGAGAGGTTCCTTGTGCAGCACGCAGCCCCTGGGGCTGTGCAGCAGCAAAGTACAGAAATCAGCGGTGGTTCTGTCTGGGCTCAGAAAGATGCAGCCACAGAAAATCCTGAAGTGGCTTTCACTGAAACTTCAGTCTGTGGGAGAAAGAGTCTGATCCCCTGACAGCAAGGGAAGAGTACTCTTTCCAATTGGTTTTGAGCTACTCATTGCATAAGGTTTCTTAATAAGGATTTGGATTAGGCTCATGGGAATGAATTTAAATGGAGCGAGTTTCTTCAGGCTTTCTTTGAACTGAAAGAAAAAGCCATGCCTAGTTTTACTGCCTGCACTCCAGATGCAAGCAGATGTTTATGTATCTGAAGTGTCTCCTGGTGGCACCAAGCCAGCATTCCCTTCAAAGGCATCACAGCAGCAGCATGCATACTGAAGGCAGTGGGGTGAGATTGTCTCAGCAACTTTGCTGTACAACTGATGCAGTATTTCATGCTTTTATTTTTTTTTTCCTTAGCTAGTTTTTATGCTAATTGTTTCAGGTATAGATGTGGAAATATCAGCATGCAGCAAACATAGAGCCTGATACTAACCATGATGTAACTTGGTATGGAAAGTGTTGGCACTGTTACAGCAGGGCTGGGTTTGATCTATATGCATTTTTTTTTCCTTTAGTTTTGTTTGTAGACACCTGTAAGAGGAAGTGATATAGGGAGGAAATTTTTTGTTAGAGATCTGATATATCGTACTTCCTGAAATTATTTTCTGGGATTATTTTCTCTAAGATTTCTGAAATATTTTCTGAGGTTAGGTCACCAAATACTAAGGATTTTACTAATCCACTGTTGGCATACTCATATGGCCAATTTTGATCTCACTATTAATATCTAGCTATATTGCCGTATAAGGAAAACCATCTGATCTCTGGTATGTTTTATAAAGGAGATTAATTTCATTATATTCAGCTTTTACAGATATGGAAGCTGTGGAATAGAGGAGCAGGGTAAGAGGGATCAAGCAAACAATGTTAAATGCTTAAAATTACCCAGCATGTTTGTAGCAAAGACCAGGACCAAACCAAAACAGTCCGTGTCTCAAGCCAGAGCTCTGTCCTGTAATGTCACCTTCTCCTATTTCTTCAAGTGCAAGTCAGCGTTTAAAGACATTAACTTAAGATTTTCACAACTGTGACTCACAGCAGGATTTCCCCAGTGCTTTCCAAGTGCCCACAGTCTGGGGAGTTTCAGCAGGTGCAAGTGACAGACCCTGGGGCTGCAAAGGGAGCAGTGCTGGTGCTGCCAGCATGGCCTGGGGGGTGAATGGAGTACTTATTTCATGCTGAAGTCAAGAATCCATTCTGCTTTTTTACCTTTAAAGTTCAGCCCAAATAGGAATTGCTCATCGCTATCCAATAACTTTGCAAAAAAAAATGGAAAAAAGCCATGACTGGTTCTGAGCGCAAATCATTAAGTGTGAAATCTGAGAAGGGCAAGAAATGAGGCCGAGGGCTGGGGCAGGGCCAGGGCCAGCTGGCTGCTGGGCAGATGCTCCACCACTGTTCGCATTATTTTAACCTGCTGCCAGAAAGATGAAGGCTGAGCACCAGCCAGGCCTTGGAGGCTCAGGTGGGCACCGTCCAGGCGCAGCAGGAACCCATTTTGGGTTCAGCAGCCCGGAGCTTGGCGCTGCGCAGTGCGGTGAGGCAGCCCCAGCAGGATGAGGCACTGTTGTACCTTAGCGAGACTCGCTTCCCTGTGCATCACTGCGTGGAGCAGCGTGACAGCAGTTACAGAAATAACATTGCATAACCTCCTGTATAAATCTCCGGGATCATCTGGTGTTTCTCAATATGAAAAATGCAATAAACAGTGTGAGTGGTCAGCAATGGGGCGGGGGGCCCAGCTGGGGACCTGTGGGGAGCTCAGGCCTCAGCAGCTGGGGTGCAGGGCCTCGAAAGCACCTCAGAGCATCCGGGGAGAGCGGGAACACCTCAGGGCACCTGGGGAGAGCGGGAACATGTTTCCCTCAGCTCAGGGCGGGCGCTGGGCCGAAAGCTGGAGGAGGCCGGGCTGCTGGGCTGCTCCCGCCTTGGGCTGACCCCTCTCTCTGTTCCAGGGGCGATGCCAGCCGGCGGCCGGGAGCTGCTGGTGCTGGGGCTGCTGGCGCTGGGCTGTGCCGCCGCCAACGATTTCCCCGAGGGTGTTGTGGGGCGAAGGCGCCCACCAGGCCCGGCCCACAGCTGCCCCCGCGACTGCGGCTGCACCCAGGAGGGCGTCGTGGACTGCGGAGGCATCGACCTGAAGGAGTTCCCGCTGCTGCTGCCTGAGCTGACCAACCACCTCTCGCTGCAGGTAAACGCCTGCATCGCCGCCCCGGCTCCATCCTGCCTCCTTGGTGTGTGCTGGAAGCAGCAGGCCTGATGCTGGTGCTGCACTCGGTTCCCCTCGCCCACCTGTGGGTCTCCCACCATCTCAGGATCTCCTCTCCCCCACCCTGCCATTCCTGTCCCAGAGCAGAGGGGAAATTTCACCTTAATTCTCTCCCCACACATCAAGGGAGGAAAAAAGGTTGGATTTTTTTTTCTGCTTATTCTCTCCCCAGGTCCAAAAGAAGAATTTTTGTCCAAAGTAAGAATTGCTTTTCATGGTGAAGGTCTTTGATTTTGAGTTGTCTATGAAAAGCATGGACTAGACTCCTTTAGTTAATAAGAAATTTTCTGGCAGCCCTACATGGGAGCTCTATGGCCTCACGTTGCACCAGGCAGGTTCAGGTTGGATATATTGTCATTGTGGCACTGAGGTCAGCAGGCAGTATTGGCAGTAGGTGGACAGTTGGACCAGATGATCTTACAGGTCTTTTCCAGCCATCATGATTCCACGATTCTACATCTTAGTTAAAGTATTGTAAGCAGAGTGTGCCCAGGGGAACAGAAGCTTGGCTGGAGCCATCACCAGGCCCAGGGAGAGTGCCCAGAGAGCGCTGCAGCAGTGGATGGTGCTGGCCGTGATGTTCAGACAGCCGGTGCTGCACACTCACTGTGCTGTACCCCTTAACCTTGTTTATTGCCCCTATTTACCAAGGCTGGTCAATGGATAGCATGCAGATTTTGTACAGTGCTTTCTATCCAAGTGCTGTGTAGTTAGAAAAACTGTAATGTCAGCTGGCACCCTCCTCAGCAGATCTGTTCCAGGCGTGCACTAGGCATGGCTCCTGCCTTTAACTCCAAAAGCAGGAAAGCTACTTTGGAGCAGCAGCTGTCACTCTCTGTGTATTAGTTTGGCTTCCAGTACAGCAGGTCCTTTTTCAGTCTCCTAGATGCTAAAACACTCAATTCATAAATGGTCTAAATGCTAGTAAGCTGATAATGAAAATCTGATGGTAGTCACTCCTGGCAGTAAAGCCAGTGAAAGGGAATGCAATTTCACTGTCTGCTCATGACAAGTTTGCAGTGGGACAAAAATCCCTCATGTAAAAAAAACATCACTCAAAACATCAATAATAGCAGCAATAAACTTGAAGTTCCACTGTGCCAACTTTGTAGCAAATGCTTTGCTGCAACTTCAGGGCTGTGGCAAATGGATTATAGATCTTGCCAGGCATGATCGCACTCTGTGCTACCAGTGCATAAGTTGGATATTTATAGGGATGGACACAGGCTACAGAATTTGTTTCGGGCCTTCAAATGCTGCTGGGTTTTGATGCATTGGTTTTGAGATCCAAACTTGGCTCATTATGGAGAGAAAGCTGTTGACAATGATTTGACATGGTTGGTTCATTTCCAAATTTTATTGAAGTTCACAGTCTGGGTTTTATTGGGAACCTTCTTGGACTACTCAGCTGATGATTAACACTCTCCATTTTCTTAGAACAACCAGATAGAAGAAATCTTTCCAGAAGAGCTTGCTCGACTTCACAGACTGGAAACTTTAAATTTGCAAAACAACAGGCTGACTTCAAAAGGTAAGGTGGAAGAGCTGTGAAGCACACAGAACAACACCAGCCCTGTGACAGCTGATAGGAAAGCTGTAAGACTTCATGGGCTGACTTGACTGTACTGGTTTTCTGTAAGCATCCCACAGATCATGAAGGCATTTTATCATCTGAAACATAATTCTCAGTGTATAAAAATGCAATCATACTGAACCAGTGGAGGAGACCTGGCAGCAGCACTGTGTACTGTGGCGTGAGAGCTTATCCAGGAAACTCCCTCCAGTCCCTCAGGCACATCGGTGCAATGCACTTGAGAACCAGAAATGTCTACATGCTGAATGATTTCCTTTTGACTGACCTTGTTTCTTAATCCACTTGTTTAGTTCAGTCAGTCACTGCAGTTTAGTCCAGTTTGGTCCTTGCTGAATTAAATATAATACAAATAATATAGATTACAAATAAGGCAATTTCTGCCCTTTGGAAAACATTATGACTTCTGTAGGCAGGTGTTGCTTGCTAAGTCTAATGTTTATTGGAGAGACCTGACAACTGCCCAGTCAGGAAAGCAGAAGGAGTTGTAGTAAACAGTAAGAGAGCACAGTTCACAATACAAAAGATATAATTGTTAGCTTTCATGTCATCCAGTTGCTCTGAATGCTCCTGCTATCTTTATTGCAAAGATAGGGAACAGCTTTGATTGAGAATGCAGACATTTCATGGAACCCAAAGCATATCATTCATGCATAGTACAAGGAAGACTGCTTAATACATTCTGACTTTGATGTTATTACCTTTGGGGTGTGCTGTTTTTTTTACAAACCTCAGTGCAACCCTAAGTTTCATGTATGCTTTGATATGGGAAATAGCTTCACCTTTCACTTTTAGTTATCTAAGTGCTAGCTAAAAGTGTCATTTGTACACTTGCCATTGTGAGTGAAATAGTGCTTGTGTGATTATCTGGGTGTGGAGCAATTCAGCTGGAAAATAATAATTATTGGAGCATGATTAGCTTCGAGCTGGATCAACTCTGGGCTGGTTACTGCATGGCTGCATGGATTGTGGGGAAACAGAATGAAAGAGGAGTTACAACATGCAGCTACTGATGTTATGATGGCAACCTCACAGTCATAGATCATATTGATCTGATCATTAAACATCTCAGATTATGTCCTGCCAAGAGAAGCTATCTGCAGATTCATCTAAAAAGTGACAAAATAAACTTCTCAGATAGCATGGTTGCTGAAGCATTGATAATCAGCTGTACAGCAAGTCTATACCTGCTCTGTACATGAATCCTGCCAGAGGGGTTGGCCGCCAGCCCTGCCTGCTTAATGTTTCTAATGGTCTTACATTGCTCTTAATGCTCTGCTTTGTTTTGGTTTGTTTTTTATAAAAAAAGCAACAATAGGTCTGAAACAGGTTGTTTCAGTGCCAGTGAAGAATATTTAAATCTTGTTTTAAAATGTTCTCTGAAAGAGAAAAATACCCTCTAAAATAAAAAATAAAAAAAAAGCATTCCCTCATGGAGCCAGCATTATTGCTTAACAAGCTTCCAAGCAGGGAGGTAATGGATGCCAGTATTTCTGATCAGAATTTTTCTTGTTTTCAAGGGCTGCCAGAGGAAGCATTTGAGCACCTGGAGAACCTGAATTACCTATACTTGGCAAACAATAAGGTAAGAGGCTCAGAAGGCTTTCAGAATTCTTTTCTAGTTGGGTTCTGAAATCTCAACAAGCAAGTCTTCTATTCTTTTTTAAAATATATATCCTATGTAAGTAAAATTGTCCTAAAGTGATATTCTAGTGAAGGTTCATTTAAGGTCAAGGCAAGCAGTGAGCATTATAAAAACTTAGAAGGTACAGACAACAGTATATTTTCAAGGCCTGCTTTGTGCAATTAGTGAAAACTTTCCCTTGTGTGCGTAGGCAGGCATGGAGAGCCTCTGCAATTTAAATTGCCACTATTTTCAGTAGGCTTTGGATCAGCTGCATACACAGTTAGTAGCTGCCCGTATGCAAATAAGCTGTGGGGTAATGGTACAAGGTGTTGCCTATCTCATCAGATGAGGCTGGGTTGAAAAATCTGTGAACAAACACATCCTACTACCTGTGCATGTATGTGCCATCAAGATCAGCAAAATGCCATCTAGGTTTCCTGGACCCCCATTCTCATTGGGTTTGTTGTGGAGGGATACCCACACAGTGGGTATTAATTATCTGCTCAGTTTCACTGAGCAGATAATTAATTTATTGTTTTACCTGCAGTGGTAGGAGCTGAACTTCTTTCAATGAAGAAAATCACAACTGGGAGATACAAGTTGGATGTAATGGCAGAAAAACACTTCCCTCCCTGCCAAGGCAAGGAAATGCCTTCTCACATATGTTTATATCTGGCAGTTCCCATTATGGCTTTCTTTTTCTCTGGTGATCCCCCACAAATATTTGCTACAGAAGGAACTAGAATACCACAAAAAATATATGAGTTGAAACATCAGACAGAGCTTCTTTTGCCTACAAATACCCTTCCCTTCCTCTCTTTCTCTATATGTACATTTATATGCATGTCTGCACATATATTTTATTATCCTTTTAAAATCTGTGACCCTTTGATGTTTCATTTATATACACATGGCCACACTGAGGTCTCAGCCAGGCCAAGGCATTTCCAGAATCACTCCATGATTTTCTGTATGGAGTTATTGAGAATAGAACCCATTATTTAGTACAGTAACATTGTGTTCTTTTCTCTCTTTCAAGCACCATTTCCATATAACAATCTTGGCAGTTAATAACTCCATAAAAAGGAACAAGCCAGACTGTGACTCATATTCCAGAACTTTGCACTCCAGTTTTCCCTGTGTGACAAAACAAAATGTTTGGGGTTTCTGGCTTTACTGCAGAGAGGAAAGGATCCCAATAGAAAATGCAAACATCAGCGAATGTCAGGACTAGTTATGGTGAGAAGTTGTGGACCCACAGGAATAACACATTTCTTTATAAATCACAAGCCAGGACAAACCATATTGGCTTCAAACTGCATCACTCTGCTTTGGGAAGTGCTGCAGATCAAGTAACTGTGGTGTCTGGAGGAGAGCAGGGATTTGCTGGTAGTTTGCTCCTTGTTTTATGGATTATCTTCACTTGTGATCCCATCAGATACTGTCTTTCATTAAATGAGCTTAGTTGGTTGGAGAAATGAAATATGATAATAGACTAAAGTGGCTTTTTAGTAATAAGTGCTTATTGGATGCAGTAGTTTCCTTTTGAATTTTTCATCACACTCATAGTATGTATTAATCACGTCGTAGCTGCAGTGAGCCTCGCTGATAACTGAAGGCTCTCCTACCCAACTATAGAGCGTGTGCTGAGCTGTCACTGTTATTTTCTGTAAGCTGGTGATTTTGGTGGCAGAAGTTTTGCATCTCCAAATATTCCTGTAGTGACAGGGGATTCACTTGGATCCAGTGATTTGTTTATATCAAAGCTTATGGTAAGCAAGAAAATTTGTTTCAAACAAATAATAACTTTGTGTAATCCTTCTAAGCTCATTGCTTTACTATTTGTTATTAGTGGAGAAACAATATCTGCCATATGGAAAGGAAGATTCAATAGTAAAGCTGCAAGAAAATTGCATGTGCAGAAATGCAGATTGCTTCTTATTTGGCAATGTATCAGATGAAACTACTCAGTCACCTTGGTTTTGCTAAGTTACAGCAATCCAGCATTCATCCTTCAAGCAATCAGCCACTGGAGATCAATCAGTCTCATGACTAAATGCTGAAATGCCAAAGATGAGTCCTGTGCAAGCAAAAACTCTCTTTGAATGAAACTTTTTTCTTTCTTGTGGTTCAGATGTTTCTCATTTCACATATCTGAGCCATTCCTTTTGTTTTGTGTAAGTTATGACCCAATAGACTGGGTTTCAGGAGAAAAGCTTTAATGTGCCACCGTATATGAAAATGATTAACTCTATTTCCTGTTTTTTTCACTGTTATGTCATGATAGTGACTTAGTTCTTTCTGAGGCACTGTCAGACCTTCCTAATCAGATATGGGTCCACTTGCACGATATCCTATTTCCCAGGTCAGGAGGTGACAAACTACCAGTAAATTCGAGGGCTTTAGAAAACAAAAAAAGTCACTATCTTTGTAGAAGAGTCCTTCAGAGTGTACGTAAAGTATTTGATCAGTTGTCTCACTAGTGCTATAGTTAACACATGTAACCATGGTAGCACATGCATACTGCAATTCAGTAGTCTTCTGCTTATGCAGAAGGCATAAGCATACGAGAAGGCATACGAGACTAAAGGCTCGTATCCAGCACAGCATTGTGCAGAGAATTTCTTTCCCAGGGTTTAATCTTCTGGGTTCCTGCTTTGCACAGAATTGCCCTCCAGCCCAAAAAAGTGCAACCTGTATTCTTGGTATCTAGATGGATAATTACTACTAGCAGCCACACAGTGAAGATTGCTGTTGTATTACCCAAACATTCTGTAAAACTAAGCTTTTTAATCATTAGTTCCACCTTCACTAAGTTTTATTCAGATACAGGTGTTCCTAGCATTTTTTTTTAACATCACTGATGGAAATAGCAATAGACCAAAAGCAAACAGGACCTCTCCTACCTTTCTTCAACTGAAAAGTTTTGCGGAGACAAGAACTTTTTGTATTTTGTTTCTGATACCTCACTTGTTTAGTGAGCAAGGTATCACTGTACAGCTCTGAGATTCCATTTGATATTTCATCATTTGACTCAGAAATGTTTCTGCATTTTGGGAACCTGGATCCTTTGTGAAGAGATCATTTTAAGTGGATGCAATACTGGTAGACATGTGAAATGACATTTCCAGCCTCTGAACCAACAGACTTTCTTATGGGAGTAAATAGTAGGCCAGTATGAGGTGGGTTGGATTTTTTTGGCTCACCAGACTGAGGATTATGAACAATAATAAGCATGGCGTTTACTCTCAGAATAACAATTTCTTGACTTCTTCCACTAAGAGACAGGATGCTTCCAAGCCAAACAAACATTCACATATCTTGGAGCAAAAATCTGTCTCCTTCCTGGAGAGATTAGCAAGTGAGGACAATTTATTTTTTAAATTATTTTTCATGCAATATGCATTCTGTTTCAGAGAAAAAAAAATTGCAAGTGTTTTGTGCACGGTCTAATGCTTGCTTAAAACATTGCATTTAATTGAAATTCACATCTATATTTCTCTTTCAGCTAACAGTGGCTCCAAAATTCCTACCAAATACCTTGATCAGTGCAGATTTTGCAGCCAATTATCTCACTAAGATATATGGGCTCACATTTGGGCAGAAACCAAACTTGAGGTAAGGGATCGGGAAGTGAAATAAGACTAGAGTTCTGACACTGCTTGGAGGCTCTTGATAAGTTTAAGAAATTTTCTGGCTAAGCCATTTTATTGCCTACTGATATTTTTTGGAAGGAAGCTGACTACTTGTTAATCTCAGCATGAAGGATCTGACAAATACATTCCAAAGGCTTCTAGTAGCTGCCAAATACTTTTGCATAGATAAAAATTAAATTATTTCCATTTTGTTTGTGCTTCAGAACAGCTTTAGTTTCCCAAAATATGGATTAATAGTTAGAAATCCCCATTTTTTTAAATAATCCATTCATTAAAAAATTAGAATCATATTGGGAATGCAATACTCAGTATAACTCAACTGTATTAAACCTAAGCATAGTAACCTTCCTTCACAAGTGGTTCATACCCTCTGGTCTGGTTTCAAAGGCCTCTCTGCTAGTTTCAGGTTTTGATTTTGTCAGCTGGAGCCAATGTAATGCCTTAGTCCATCTCAAATTCAGCTGCACATAGACAGACCTCCTGTGAGATACAGTCTTTCCCAAAGGCATTTTGAGTAATTTATTTATATGGCCTCTACAACATCTAAATCCTGCAGAGATGTCTCAAGCTCTATTGATAGCAATTTATGCATCCCAAATTCAGAACTACTTAATAATGGCAGACCCAGTTGAGCTCCTAGAGCCCAATGTTATGATGAACTGAAGAGCTTTCAGTTCCGTCTGGTTTCACTGAGAACAGAAGCTACTCAGTATTTACTAGACCTCTAGTCTCGTAAGCTCTTGATAGATGAAAAGACTGAATGAGGCACTGATTTCAGGCAATATCTCATCACAAAAAAAGCTAGATTTATACACATTCTTCCTTAATCTGAGTTACATAAGTTACTGTGTTCCAATCTTGTATTAAAATTCTTGCACTCTTCAGAAATGATTTTCACATACTTTCCCACAACAGCACTCATTTTAATCTTCTGAGAATTGATTCATCAATTTCTGAGTTTCTGTCCCCAGCAGAGTTAATGATCTTAGGCTCATTATTTGAAAATAACATTTTCAGAAAGGCAAATATTTATGAGTTAGAAGCACAGCTGGCCATGAAAGGTGAACTGTATTTTCATGTGGCTCTGAACCTCCTGGAGTGTCTGATCACACTATTGTGTTTCCATACTGAGCTTTTCCTTCCTTCCAGAAAGATGTCAAGTCCTCTGCAACCACTAGAGAGTCCAAGAACAAGCTGTAAAAGAAAACTTTTATGCTGTACTCTTTTGCAATTTTAACCTGTGTCCATGACTATAACTGACTACTGCATCTTGGGTACACACAGGAAATGAAGGGATAACAGAAGTATGTAAAATCCCATAATTTCCTTTGTTAATAAGAAGTCAAATTAATTTGTTTAGGAATTAAACCAATGAAAAGCAGCAATTACTTCATAGAAGTCAGTTGCTTTATACAGAATTAAATCCTGTGTAAGGAAGATAAAATAATTTTAAAAACTGATTGCAGAAACTCTTTGGTGAATACTAAAGGTTAAAAGTAAGAAGGGAAAGCTAGAAACTATCTTTCTCTAGATCCCAAAAGGTCATTAAAAAACAAAACTCATACAGATTTGTTCTTTCTGACAGTATTGTTTGCCCTTTTGAATTCTAGAAGTAGAAGGCAAACTGTTTCCTCAGGTATTTTGAGCCTTCACGGGAGCAGAAAGAACGGAAGGGTGTGAAACAGCCTTTCCTCAGGAGATCTGCAGGTTGATTTTGCAAGAAGCCCAGATTTGACTCCAAATAGAAGTTAAGATTGGAGTTAAGGAGATATCTTAAGAAGTTAAGATATCTATTAATCCGATAGGATTTCGAATGAGGCCACTGACATGTTTCATTTCTCTTAGCCAAAAGCAAAGCTAAGTCCAAATGGCAAAACTGAAATGTAGACTTAAAAGGAATGCAGTCCCAGATTTACATTCATTTTCTTGTTATGAAGATGAGGCTACTTGTGAAATTCATATTCACATCCAGGATGGAATTTAAATAGAGCTAAATTTCAAAGAGTATTCAGACCAATCATTTGGTTGTGCACGTATATGTATGCCTTGCCAAATTAAAGACCATGTTTTGATAACAAATCTAATTAAGGGAAGAAAAATAGGCTGAAATACAGTTTTTAAACAGCTTTCTTTTGGTAAGATGAACAAACAGATCTAAATGTCTTCTTGATATCTTAAATTATCTTTTGATAAGTTTGATTTTATCTTTTTTCTTCTTCTGACAGATCTGTTTACCTTCACAACAACAAACTTTCAGATGCTGGCTTACCTGATAATATGTTCAATGGCTCTAACAATGTGGAGATACTCATCATGTCCAGCAATTTCCTGAAATATGTTCCGAAGAATCTCCCTCCAGCATTATACAAATTACATCTAAAGGTAATGACACCAGGGTTTTGTATTTCTTTACGACTGTGACAAAGCACTGTGTTTGTGTGAGATTCAAACTACACAACCAAGCAATTTCATTTCACTTGAAAACATTCCCAGGGCCTCTGTAAGTCTCATCTACTATGCTCTCAACTGTAGCTATTTCCCAGGTCATTACTAGTTTGTTCATAAGGAATAGAGTGTTTTTGCAAAATATCACAATGCTCACAGGGGAAATAAATAACTTTTCAGTGTTTTCAGAGGAATGAAAAGTATTTACATGTGATAGTACTGTTGATCTCTTTCTTGGGTATAACCATATGAATGCATATTAGTACAAGAAGGTAGATCATTCTTAATGGCCATTCACTAATTGGACTCCTGGTCAAGGTTGCTCCTTATGATGGTGTTTTTTCTGACAGCTGCTTACCCATTAGATATTGGCTGTGCTCACTAATTGCCATCATGGAGACTGCTGTTCCCTAGCATCAGTGATATTTTGTTTGCTACTGAACTGGCAATTTAGTCAACACAGAGAAAGTTTGGATCAGTGAGTCTTCACAGCTACAGCTTCTCCAGCAATCGTGTTATGCAGAAGTTGTGGTATTATCTAGTCTCCAGCATTTTTAATTCTATGTCATCTGATTTTGATAAAAATACTTCATAATTGTCTGTGCTTAACTTTGTAACAATGGGAGAGCTGCAAGTGGTGGGGAATCCTGGTTCCGTTTGTTCCCAGTGTTGACAGTTCCTTGGACGTCTGTAGACTGAAGTCTGTTTATAGAATCATAGAAGAGTTTAGGTTGGAAGGAAGCTTAAAGATCATCTAGTTCCAAACCCGTGCTGTAGGCAAGTACACTGCCCACTAGACCAGGTTGTTCACAGCCTTGAATGGTTGCAGAGAGTGGGCATCTACAACCTTGCTGAGCAACCTGTTCCAGTGTCTCATCACCATCAAGGTAAAGGATTTCTTCCTAATATCTGGTCTAAAACTACTTCCAGTTTAAAGCCATTCCCCCTTGTCCTGTTGCTACCTGTTGTGTTCTCTCCCCAGCTTTCCTGTAGGCCCCCATTCAGGTACTGGAAGGCTGCTATAAGGTCCCCCCAGAGCCAGATTTTCCTTCTCCAAGTTCTTACCTTTGCTTCCTGCAGCTTGGGTGTTATGGCTAGAGCCTGTGCCTGTGAAGACTGAGGCAAAGAAGTCATTGAACACCTGTTATCAGCCCTTGTATCATTCTGTGTTGCCTCCCAGCTTCCTTTTTCCTTGAAGATTTCACTGCAAAATCCCACTGAAGTCTTCTACAAAACTTCTACAAAGACTTCTATAGGTTGAAGAAGGCAAAGGGCCTTTAACCTTCTAGATTTTGTCTGCCATATTATGAAGTTACTAAAGCCCTGGATTTTGTTGGAATTCATAAGTAATAGTTATCTCCTAAATGAAGGCTTAGCCTTCAAGGACTGTTCTTAGGACTCATATTCTTCCCTGCTGTCCCACCTGTGTTCAAAGCAGAAAAATGATAGAGGGAAACAAGCATTTTGTTTTCAAGTGCACTGCCTGTCATCTAACTGGACACAGTTAACTGAACACAGCAGTGAGAAACAGGATATTGACTGAAAGTGTACTTGTAGGTGTGATAGATCTTTTTGTTTCACTCTTCACTGTGATCTGCAGCCAAGTCTCTCTGTGATGGTATCTGCTTTACATTAATTGGGACCATGCCTAGTCTAGTCTGCTCCTCACATTATTGCTTGTACCTGAGGGGTACTGGAGCAGGCTGCCCAGAGAGGATGTGGATGCCCTGTCCTGGAGGTGTTCAAGGCCAGATTGGATGGGGCCCTGGGCAGCCTGGTCTAGCATTAGGTGGGAAGGTTGGTGGCCCTGCATGTGGCAGGGGGGTTGGAGATTCATGATCCTTGAGGTCCCTTCCAACCCTGGCCATTCTGTGATACTGTGCTTCTGTGAAGGGTGGGAAATTAAACAAATTCAGTTTCGATGTTTTATGTGTACTTTTATAATTCCTACAGTTCCTGTATGGAATTCATAAATGGAATTTAGTTTTATATTTTGTTCATGTCAGCTGGCTGGCTACTCAAAAGCAGCACTAAGGCAGTAGGAGTAATTGCTTTAGAATCTACATTGCAGGAAGTGTGCCTTTTCAAATGTCAAACACTGGAAGGATGGCTGGTTCCCAGCTTCCAAACTAATTCTTCTTTATGGTAAAATCTGTCTTAGAAAATTCAGAAATTCTGAGCAAACTACAGGGCCACTTGGATTACACTGTAGATTTGCACATAGGTGCAAAGACTGTATGAATATAAAATGAAACCCTCCTGGAGTGCCAGATTGTAACTACTTAGCCTAAAAAATTCAACTGGAAGTCAGTTATTGTGCTTAGTTGTAATACTTTAGTATTTGTATTTATTTCTTAGGTGGAATTAAAACTTTCAGTGAAACGCCTGAAGTCTAGCTCTTTTGAAATTTAATTGCCTGGTAATATCTGAGCAGAGCCTATGTGGCACTCATAGGAGTGTGTCCTATGTTGTTTCATGCTAAATAATGTGTGATGTGCTTTTGATGACTTTAGAACAACAAGCTAGAGAAGATTCCCAAAGGAGCCTTCAGTGAACTTACAGGCCTGCGGGAGCTGTACTTACAGAATAACTACCTGACTAATGAAGGAATGGACAATGAAACTTTCTGGTGAGATTCAGACCTGTAGTTTGCACCTGTGTCTGTCTGCCTCCTCTGGTATAGTAGTACATCTACAAAAAAAAAGTACTTAAAAGTACACTTATTAAAAACTGTGCTGTTATGCATTCCTCTGCTAGGTCTAGATGAAAAGACATAGACTCAGATACTGTCATTGAAAAGCAAAGGTCTTGGTGAGTGGTTTGAATTCACACACCTGAGTTCCATTATACGGAAGACAGAACACTGAACATCAGAGCGCATCACTGTTTGATTGCTGCAGACCCAATCACAGGAGGTGCTAATTGCCCTCTGAGAAAAGGAAATCTAGAATGATGGTGCAGGCTGCTCTCCATTTTTCCAAACAGGACAGAAGTGAGGCTACTTGAGACGTCTCAGTTTCCAGGGCAGTTCACTAGGAGTTAAGGCAAGACCTTCACTTTGCTATGTCACTTGTGGTTTTTTCTGTTTTAGTGATTGCAAGCAGACACAGATGCATAGTTGTGAATTAATAGCTACAGTGTGTAGGGATTGGTGGAGTTAGAGGGGATGTAATGGTGCTGCTCAATGGCCAAATGGCTGCAAAAGCTTTTCTACAAACTGGTACAACTGAAATAGCCTTTGACTGTCCTAAATTTACCCTTTGTTTCTACTTGCACTGAGTCCTGCCCTGGTTCTACCTGAAAATCTAGACCAGGTAATCTGTCCTGCCTATAACTTGCCATGAATCCTGTAAACTTTTCTGGTCTCTAAAAATGGGAAGCTCTTTTCCACGAATCACTCCCAGAAACCTCCCAGAGTAATTTACCTTAGTTCTGCTGTGTCACCCTACGGGGAATGTTGGACATCACCAAAATCTTAACAGAAATGTTAACACAGTACAGTGGCTGTAGCTCAGGCAGCAATCACAGTCAGCAGACAGGGGTGGATGTTACTCTTTGCTGTACGGTACCCAGGCTAAGGAAGCATTACAGACTGCAGTAATGAACTGTTTTACCCAGAAAGTATATTTGTTCATTCAGACTATACGTGGAGAGCTCTGAGCAACAGTGTAGTAAACAGCAAGTAATGTCTGTAATGTATTCTTGTATTTCCTGAGAGCTTTCTAGTCATCTGCAGTGGGTTATGTAGTGCCATGCAGATTACAGTCTCCTCATAGGAGCGCCTCAGTCTTGGCATGTAACGCCACTGATCCACATCCAGTTGGTATAAGTGGCTGGTCTGAGGATTTATTTTAGCTTCAACTGAGTCTATGGAATCCAGATTCAGTAGCTTACACAAAGCAGATCTACCCCTGACTCACTTCCATAATACTGGAGGGTCAGGAGAAGTTCAGTATCTTAGTCTAGGACACTGAATTAGCATTTCTAATTTTCATTACAGTAACATTTCATCATCTCAAAAGCAGCCCTACTTTTCAGTTTAAATATACAATTTCAGAGAAACAAAAATTATTCAGGCTGTTTCTGTGAAATGGACTGTAAAACCCTAGGAAAGGTTGATTATTGTTTCACTTTGCAGAATCTAAATGAAAAGTGTTTTCTTTCCTGCTTTCTCAAGGAAACTGTCTAGTCTTGAATATCTGGATTTGTCCAGCAATAACCTCTCACAAATCCCAAGTGGTTTGCCTCGAAACATCGTCCTCCTTCACCTGGAGAAGAATGCAATTAAGGTGATTGGTAGAGATGTCCTGACCCAAATTAAGAACCTCGAGTACCTCCTGCTCCATAATAACAAATTAAAAGCCCGAGGTATTCACCCATCAGCCTTCCAGGGCTTGAAGAAACTGCACACTGTCCATCTGTACAACAACCTCCTGGAAAGGATTCCCAGTGGGCTGCCTCGACGAGTGAAAACACTCATGATCCTGCATAACCAGATTTCTGAGATTAACAGGAATGACTTTGCTACCACTTACTTCCTTGAAGAGCTGAACCTGAGCTACAATAAACTCAAAAGTCCCCAGATCCATCGGGAGGCCTTCCGTAAACTGAGGCAACTAAAGTCCTTGGATCTTTCTGGAAACAACCTCAACACGGTGCCCTATGGCTTTCCAAAGAACTTGCAGGTTCTGAAGCTGAAGGAAAATGAGATAAGTGAAATCCCAAAAGGGACTTTGTCTGGGATGACAAAACTGCGGGAATTATATTTGAGCAACAATAAACTGAAAGTAAACTCAATTTATTCAAGAGCGTGGAGGGAACTCAGCAGTCTCCAGGTAGAAACATCATCTTCTCTTATTGTGGTCGTAATGCTAATGTCCTCCTCTGTCTGCCTAAGCCAGTTTATGTGGCACCAGTACTAGCTTTGCTTGGAATGCATGTTTTGGGTTTGCATTTTAAGTGCCACGTGCTCTGTTTCTAGCAGCTGAAAGGTTGTGCTGTTGTGCCAGAGGTGAGTACCTCCCACCACTGACCAGAGCGGTGGTCCACTGTGTACTGCTAATTCTGGGAAATGTTAAGACATTTTTGTTTCTCAATCCTAATGCTTATGCTGTCCTTTATTTTCAGCTAAACATTAATGAATGTTGTCATTAAAACTGAAACTGTGTTTCAAACAGTTTGTCTTCCAAAAGATCTGAAATGAGCTCTGAAAAGAGACTGCAGGAAGAAGGAATGCATAAACAAAACCACTCTTAATTCTCAAAGCCCCCCACATCAGCTTATAGTCAGACAGGCCAAGCTACAGGATTTAGCAGCTCAGCTGGCTAAGGCACCTGGATAGCAGCTAGGAGGTCTGGATTCAATCAGCAGTCTCGTCATTTGCTTAATTGTTCGAGAAAGTTAAACACAAACCATAAGGCAGTCAGGAACAATCTCATTTGTGCTGTGCAAAATGACCTTTCAGAATTGTTACACTGGCTGAAGGATTTGTCTGCATTTCCTTTTAGGTAACAGCCTGTTTCCTGCAGTAAAAGGCATTACCTATGTCATCTGGTAGCCATCTAGGATGCTTACTGTTAGGTCACTGTACTAGCAAAATTTATACATCTGAGAGCAGATAAGGGATAGAAGATACGGAGTGTATGTTTTACTGGCCCCCAGTGCGTTTTCAGACAATGTAAACATTTATCTGTGTTAATATTTTCTGTTGGCTTGGAATAAATAAGAGCTTATTTTTCAGTTAATGTAAATCAGCAGTGCAATAATAGCAGCTGTAGCGCTGTTGCTTTGCATCAGCTGTAGATTTGGTTGATGATTCCAGTGATATATTTTGCATTTGTTTGGTGCCTCAGTGACATGTGCACGTGTGTGCAAATATGTCAGAGAGAGAATGTAGTTGGGAAGGAAGATGCTGATGAGAATTGTAGATACTGGCACCATTTAACCACAGTAGCTTAATGAAATGCAACCATTGTCACTGTCTTTTTTTTTTTTTTTCTCCCCTCTAGGTCATGAGGACAAAAATAGGTCATGAGATTTATTACCAACTTTAGCTATTGGTTGGAATTAAAAAATTACAAGCTTACTTTCTTGAAAGGCCTGATTCATTGCAGTTTCATCTCACTTTTATGCTGCTGTCAGTCTTTTGTAGTTGGTGTCAAGCCAGAGTAATGCATTGCTGAATCAAACTCTGGCACTTCAGCTGCACCTTTTCCACAGCAAACCCCACTCATACTAAATAGGATTAAGATAATAGCATGTATGCAAGATTATTTTAAACTAAGTCTTTTTTTTTGTTGCGACTTCTTCTTGAGCAGCCTTACTACTTGTTAAGTATTTTCATGATAGTATGTATTAATCTTTTCTCACCATGAAGGGCTTAACTCTGCAATAGGTTAATGAGTTGGTGCACTGGAGATCTGACAAATAACAATCAGGTCTAAGATCCAGATTGTGCAAGTACTTAGCATGCAGTCCTGTCCACACTGTTGCCATGGAAATCACTGAAGACTGCTTGCAATTGCAAAGCTAAGCATTTGCATAATTGTTTGCCAGACTGGGATTATGTTGAGAATAAGAACAACGAATTCATGACAATCATCTGCAGAACTGTAGCTGAATAATGTGACTAGTATGTCAGCTTGGGAAGTGCTGCATATAACACTTATTTTAATCAATTTCTTTGCTGAAAACTTTTATAAAGAAGTATCATGACCTGTAGTCCTGATGTCTTCATACATTGCTCTGTGTGAGAATATTTCCAGGTATTTTTATGTGTGATTGTATCTAACATAATCATAGCTAGTGAAGCTTTGCAAGAGCAGGTTCCAAAGACTTCCCAAGCATATCTGAAACCCAGTCTGCCTGTAATTCACTGTAAGTAGTCATGGGTTAAAGCCTGAGGACAGCTTACCAAAACAGTATGCATGGCACATCCTGTGAAATTGTGATGTTAACTGGTAGCACAAGAAAGCAGAATTGCAGCAGCCACCTTTACCTCGATGTGAGTTAGATTAACTCAGTTTATGCTACAGTAAACATCACTTCAGTTTTCCACTATGAACTCAAACTGAATCTTTCTGCATGGATGACACCCTACGGTTTCCATTATGCACATAGTATTTGTTCTTTTCCTGACCTCACCAGAAGGGAAAGGTGTAGTGAGCAGACTCACTAAAGTAACATCAGAAAAATAAAGCTTGCTTCCAGGTGATTTTCAAACACAAATCCTGGATAAAGCTTTACATTAACATCACACTTCTGTACTGTTATCATCCTAATTTTTTTATAAGTGCATTATATACATATGAATGTTTGTATATTTACATGTATACATACATAAAAACAGTGGATAACATTTAGAAGGACAGGTGTGTGTATACAGCCTGCTTTTGAAAGCTCATTTATTGTTAAACTTCTGTTTTTGGAGTGTTGCTAATATTCACATTTGATTATTTATTTAACCCCTTGTTGTCTCTTCCTTACAGTCATTAGACATGGCTGGCAACCAGCTGACTTCGATCCCCTCAGGCCTGCCAGAATCTCTAGAGTACCTGTATCTTCAGAACAACAAGATCACCGTTGTTTCAGAGAATGATTTTGAGTCCACACCCAAACTAAAGGGAATTTACCTCAGGTGAGTTCAAAGTCTTCAACACACAAGATTATTTTTTTTTAATTCACTTTATTGTTGCTTACTTTCTAGAAATTATTTAAAATTTTAACTTTCTAAATAAGCAGCTTTGTTTTATAGAAATTCAATGAAGCAATGCTCATCAGCTGAGGAAAGACATGGATACACAAAATGTGCTTTTCAGAGAGATTTTCCCTTCTGTCTTTATGAGAATGGATTAGGCATGTTAGAAATTCTGGGAAGTTAATGTTTAACACTAGCTCATATTCCAATATTCGGACTAAAGGTTTACAGCTCAGTTATAAGACTACAGCTCTGCCTCTGCCTGCTGCCCCTGACTTTTCATAGTGTACAAAAACCTTCTGTCATGAGACTTGCATGACTAATCTTGATGTGGTGCGCTTTTCTGCGGTAGTTTTGTCAGAAACAGATGTCAATGTTATCAGCCATCACAAATGTGACAATTATGCAACTAAATTTAGAAAGATTTTCTGTTTCTTTTCCTGCTCTGTCAACTGGATGAGAACTTTGTTTATTAAACCTAATATTTTACAAGTGGCAGATGCCAAACTTGTTTTACACCAAATGTAAACTCACAATAAAGTAACTGATTTAAGCAGAGTTACTAAGGACTTAAGCACAAGAAGGGAAGCCAGGATCTGGCCTAATAATATATTCAATTTTAATCAAACAGAACATTAATGAAAATAGTGCTTAGAAGTAAATTATGAAAACCTATGGAATATGTGGTTAAGCTGATCCCATGGTTGTGTTCAAAAAGCCTGGAATGCCCTTCAGCACAAGACTAAATATGGCCTTGTTTTGTCTCTATACAGCAACACTCTTCTATAGTTTGGAATCGTACCTTTTTAGATGAAAGGTTCCATACCAAGCAAATAAAATTAAAAAGTCTGGTCTGGTGTAAATTAGAGCAGTCTGTCTATTCAGCTGCTCACATTTATGAGATTTTTGAGAATGTTTGGATACAAACCAGAAACCACATACCGCATTCTATATTTCTATATAAAGAGAAAAAAAAAAAAGAATTTGCAGAACTGTTTTTTGCTAACATGGTTAGGAGGCAACTCCACCCAAGTTAAACTGTATTTCTTAATGGGAGGCTATTAATCCCTGTAATAGTGAAACAATAACATACATCTGGAATATTAGACAAAATACAATTTGAAGCATGTTCAAAAGTAAGAATGAAGCAGGAAATGTGAGGGGTTCTGAAACTTTAGATTAGTTTATTTACATTTCTGGAAAACAATGTAACAGATAAAAAAGTTTCTGCACATGTTTCTAAGGAGATTCTTTGCACCAGAATTGCATGTATTGTGGGAGAAGAATTCTGCTGTCAAGAGATGACATGGAATCTCATGGAAAAGCAAGTTGCACTTTGAAATGTGGACTATGGAGCAGATGTCTTTTCTGCCTGGGAAGGAGAAAGCAGTATGCCAAGAGAAAGAATCTGTGGGGAAGGAATTCCAATACTATGATTTTTTTCCTTGCAGAATACAGTTAAAGAGGTGGTCATATGTGCTGGGGCAGAAATCTTCTGAGAGCTTGAGTAGTGAACTAGAAATCAGTGTGAGATGCTTAATATTTCCTATTATTTTCCTGCAAGGTCCTTTGCAATGATACATAGTACTGTCAGAAAGCTTTGTTCAGTCACTGTGTTTGCCTGCTTCGTAACCTTTACCGACTTTCCTTCTCTTTTTCTGTCCAGAGAAATCAGTACTCTGCAGCTCAGTGTGTCTGGAGGAAAAAATAATGATGGATCTGGAAGGGGGAACGTTGGATTTGAGCTTTGGCTTTTTATTGTCAGCCAGGACCTTTGCACACTGTTAGGACCCTTGAAAGATAATTATCTTCCCATATTCATCATTCTACAGTTCTACATTGTTCAGTTCTACACATGAAGAATTCAGTACCAGCATTTTAGCAGTTCTGCTTTCTTTACAAAGGCTTTCATTTCTAAGTGCTGTTGTGTGCTACTGTAAAATTAGAGTAACTGCTGAATTATTTCCTCCTAATTATTTCCTCCTAGTCTCCTTTCATTTCTCTCTTGGATATGGAAACGGGCTTATTTTAACAGGAGGGTCTTTTTTTGTTTGCTTAAAGGTTTAATAAGATTGCAGTTGGAGCACTGAAGGTAAATACCTTCCAAAGTCTACAGCACTTACAAGTACTGGATATTGAAGGGAACCTTGAATTCAGCAACACTTCAAAGAATAAGGATGACTCAGAAGAGGAATTAGAAGATGAGGAAGATGAGGAAAACTGAGAAAAAATGTGAACTCACACAGGCACACCATGTGGAAGGTAACAGCTGACGTTTAGTTAAATCATGGACTCAGTTCTCAGACTCTTGTGTAAATAATTCCAATTTACAAGTATGATTGAAACTTAACAGGAGGTGTCTGAGCCGTAGGTTCAACAACTTTCACCCAAATATGACCAGGAATTGCAGAATCCAAAAAGGTGGAAAATACATTAATTTTAAAATGAAACAATCAGTAAATATCTTTATTTTATTGGTGGCAGTGGACTTCTCATAGTGACTCCTGCTTATAACCACAAGGATACAGTAGATAAAGGTTGTGGATCTTATTTACCAGCTCTGTTTTTTTTCTCCTTTTTTTATTTTTGTTTTTAATAAAGGTATTTCATGATATTATTAAAGTAGCTAGTTTAAAAGTTCAACTGATGCAGAAGACCATGTGAGCTGAAAGTGGATTAAAAAAAATAAGACAAATTAAAGGAGGATAGGCCCATCAGTGTCTGTTAAACACAGTGCTAAGAAGCAACATCTATTTTGGGCAATCCTTAAATCACTGACCACTGGAGTGTATAGGAAGATAGTACTATACTTGGAATATTTCTTATGGAAAGAATATCCACTTCAGGTCACTCTGGGAGACAGTACGCAGAGCTGAATTGATGCCTGGTTCAGGATAGCCATGCTTAAGTTCTTAGAACAGCCTATGATTTGCTACTGGTAAGTCTTGGCAAGGGTACATTGATCACTTCACTCAGACTTACTGAATAGCCTCTGGGTGGTTACAAATTGTGTTTGCTGTTAACTTTAATTCCAGACTGGTAATCCTGAACTTAAGATCTCAGTATTCCATAACCAATCTGGCCAGCCACTCTTTTGTTTTCAAAGGCAAAAGAAACAATGAGGATAAATTGGTATTTGAAGAGTATGTATTTTTCCATAAGAAAAGACATCTCTTAAGCCTTTCATGCTTAACAGAGATTACGAGGTTCAAGGTACTACTGTTTACTACTGAGGATTTAAGCTCCAAGACTTTGAAATTGAAATAAATGTTTAGCTTAGTCCCAGATCTATACTTTGTCATAGTGACACAAGGAATTGCTAGAAATAGTGCTAATTCACTGAAAAGATGATGAGGATTAGAAAGGACAAAAGCTACGCAGAAAGTTGAACAGTAGACCTCCAGTTTAGGCTATGTCAAACCTTTGTGAGGGAAAAAATATATATATATATGTAATCCAATATAATTATTAGAATATATGCACCTTTATCAGCACATCTGTGGTTTGGAGCATGTGCAGCTTTTCAGCAGATACTAAATTTAGCCTGTTATGAATTCTGTATTCTGTTATGTAACTGATTTTGTTTTTCTCTTGTTTTGCAGCAAAGCATATGGAAAATTACATATATTTCTATGTGTATATATCTATATAGATATATATAGAACACTTAGCAGAATGTGCAATGAATTATACAGAAACTGTCATGGCACTGGGCCAGGCTTATGGAAGACAGTGTGTTGCAGTGCTTTATTCAGGGAGAGACCCTGAATGCCTTTCCAAAGCTTCCAAATCATCTTATACAAGACCCAGGATCATAAGGGATTGCTTTGGAACTCACAAAAGCTGGCTTTTGTTCCTTGTTTCTCTTCCTTCACTGTTTCCATCTGTAATAACAATATGGGACTATTTTGAACACATGCCTTCAAATGCTGTTTTTGTCACTGCATTTTAAGTGAACTATGTATTATGCTTCTTTTCTGTTCTTGCACCCCAAAGAAGCTGTTGTTGATCAGACGAGGTGGATATTTGCAGTGGTTTCATGTGTGGAGCAATATAGGAAGCATTTGGGTCAAGAAGCAGCAGCAATAAGTCTGGATTAAACTATTCTTCTGTTAGAACAATGTGTATATTTGGATGAGAAAAAAAAAAATAAGGCTGGATCCCATAATATTTTATCTTTACTGCCACTGCCTGCAGTATATGCCTGTTTTAGAAAGTTTTTAAGATACAACAATTGGTCTCATGAACATATATATAAAAAAAACCTATGCCTACTTTCCAAAGGTTTGGTATAGTTTGTGTGTTGCTGTTGTTTGACCATGTGGCAGTTGTGTGAATGTCTCAGAAGATATGTCCAGAAGACTGAATATCAGTATGCAGTATGATATATGCAGTAGAAATTTTTACATATTTTATATCATTTATGTTAAGAGTCAGAAGTGAGACTAATGAAGCAAAAGAGATAAGTGAGTGGAAACTGTGAAGTGTCAACAGAAATTTGTTTGTTTCAAGTTTTGTGACAGTACTTGTTCTCATAATCTCTTAATTTAAAACCTCACTGTTGAGTATTTCCAGGTCCTGTCCAAATCATGGAAAATAAAGAAACCAAAGAAAAGAAGATTTACAGAGGTACTAGGATGGCAGGATTCCTATTTGTTTATAATAGCCTTCATCTGAGGTGGCTAATATGTTTGAGGAAATGCTCTTTTCTTTTGAGGATTTCTGGTTGAACACATGTTGTTTTGCATGCTGTATTCCAGGATTTACTTGGAAACAGTTGGCCTGCTTTTTAACCAGCTGTTTTTCCTGATGGAAAAGGCTTAATTCCACACTCTCCCTTTGGGGTCATGTAGCACATGACAGTAATTTCAAGCTGATATTTTCATAGACAATTTATGATGGTCATAAGTCACAGAAGAAAAGATGACCATGTGGCAGTTGTGATATTTTTTATTGAAAAAACAAACAACCCATAACTTGGCCCTGAACAATTGCAAACAAAAAAACCCAACAAAGCAGACAAACACATTTTTTAATGTCATCTATACAGATGAGAAATAGAACAGCATTCTGACTTTTGGGATAGATTTGTATGTGAAATATTTACAGAATGTAGTGGAAATCAATGAGTAATTGCTAGTGGCAAACCCCAGTGGCAAGTTTTGCTAGTCTTTGGTGAAATAGATCTATTTATTATACTCTTGAATAAGCTGACAATTTGCACAATTATACAGTTTGATGTAGAAGTGTTTGATTATTTTTAAAATTCAGTGCCTTGCTCTGTGATTCTGTGAGAATCTGCACATTGAATCTGTCCTTTGGATGGGACAATTTTTCCCAGCAACAATAAGAAAAAAAAAACCACTGCTCCTCAGCACATTAAAAGCCAAACCAAGCTCGTAGTTTGTTTAGTTCCTTTAAAGGGATAAAAGGCCCTGAGAGATTATAAGGAAAAGTCAAATCCACAAGATTTAGCACGCACGTTTTTCTTGGCTATGGATGGTAACTGTGTTTCCAAGTTCCAACCCAAGCCTTTGGTGGAACAGGACCCACATACAAAATCTTACTTTTTATGGCCTTCAACTGAAAATGGGAAGAGCTGGGAAGCTGACTTCTCTTTAGGCCAAAAAGTTGGGGCAAAAAGAGACAATATAACCATGTGACATTCTTCCTGTGAGATGCTCAGATTTGAGAAAGAGAACAGCAAGTTTTTAATGCTGACATAGATGTTATGGATAGTGAAATGCTGAAGTCTGAAATATTCAGTTGGCAGCTTTAATCCTAAGTGTGCATTTGGCCATGCTTGGTATTCATGTGTGGTCTGTATGTAAACTGAGATCTGGGTTTATTTGCTATGTTTCTTTTGAGACCATGTTTCCTCATTACAAAGGGTACTGCAGAAAATGGCATTTTTGTGAGACTGGATACAGTTTTACCCAGCAGCAAGACTGCAAATGCAGCATATAAGCTTTAAAGAACTCAGTATATGCCAAAAATAGCCTGTGGATAACAAGCTTTTCATTCAGATGGTGGGCACATAGCCCAGCTGTGCTTACAGTGTGGATGGGGCCCTTTGCAGCCATTCTCCCCTCTGTCTCTGTTCAGTTCCTGGCCCCATGGCCATGCCCTCCCAAAGAGGGTCCCAGCACCTGCTCCCACATCCACACCCCTCTCTTTATCACATTCCCCTCTGGCTAATCCTGGGGGCTTGTTGTTGTGGATTTCCTTGGAAACAAAGGCCAAGGATAGAAGGATATGTAATCTCCATCGGTTTTGTCTCCCTTCAAGAGGAGTTATGGCCGTTTGTCTTTTTTGGGTGCCAGGCTGGCACTGGGGCCATCTGAGGGAGCCCGTTTCCCTCCACTCCCCACGTTCAGAGAAGTGAAGGGATCTCCCTGCCCCAGACGGGCAGAAAGGCCTCACAGAGGAGCTGCCGCCATCCCGCGTGCTGTGAGGAGCAGAGGCGCAGCCCAGCAGTGCTCTGTGGGGAGGGCAGTGGTGCCCGCTGAGTCCTTCAGCCAACATGGCGCCCGGTGAGGCCCTGTGTGAGGGACAGCAGGACCTGCAGGTGACCGGCCATCCCCAGCCCTGCGCAGGCAAGAGAGGTGAGTTGTGGTGGGTTCAGGATGGGAGTGGGGGGCCCCTAAAGAGCCACCAGCACCCAGCCCTGTGCTGTGGCAGCATTGCTGCAGGGCTGCTTCCCCCAGCAGTCACCGACCACCCTCTGTGCAGCCCCCTCCCTGTCAGCCTGCTACAATCGGATGATGTTCTTTAGAAAACAAAAGTTGCTTTGGGGACTTGGAGATTGTTTTTCTTAGCGCTCTCCCACAAATACGACTGGATTGTCCATCTAGAGGGCAGTTGGGGAAAGGATCCTCCAACCCCTGCAGGTGCTGAGGGGTTGGACTGGCAGCCCGGCCTTTGAGGCGCCTGTGGTGCAGCCCCCTGCTGTTCGTTTGCTTTGCAGGAAAAGAACTTCTGAAAAGAATTAGGATCTAGAGTAGTAGAAGTTACATATGGGCAGGAGTGAGGCTATGGATATGCATTAACAAAGTAGGTGAGGTTAGGAAGTGTCCTCCTTAGGACCCAATTGCCTTTTTCCTGCTCCTTGGTGGTCCATGCAGAGGGGAAAGCAGGAGCACACCACTGCCCTTCCTCGTGCTTCTCAGCTCTTCCTTTGTGCCAGCATAGCAGCTGAACTGCCTTGATTTTCTGGTGCTTTGCCAGCAGCTATCCTTGGCTGCACGGGCTGAGCAGCCACAGAAGGATCTAGGCTGAAGTTGTACTTCACTGTAGCAATTTCTTAGGTTGGTCCTACTGTATTTCTATGAGGGCTGCAGAAGGAAATGTTACTGGTAGCTGATTGAACTGCCTTCACACTCCTTTGCTCAGTCTTGTTAGATAATTTTAAAAACAAGAGCCTATTTTATCTGCACCTTTGTAAAGCAGAGATACAATCTACTCTTCTTTATATGCTTTTAATGGCTTAAGACAGCAGACTGTGATTGAAGCTTCATGATTGCTCTCTTTTGACAGTCGTTCCTGATAGTTCATGATCTATTTGTCACTCTGTTGGCCCAGCCCACTGATATTTTTACAAATTTTACTTACAAAAATGTAGTAAAAATAAATACATTTTTCAAGCAATATTTTTGATGGGAAGCAGTCTCTTGGAAAACTTCTGTGATACATTCCAATATTCTATTAATCGATTTCACTCTGTAGTGTTATTGGTGAGTCTTTTTCTGTGGGTTTGGGAATAGCTGTTCTAAAAACTTTAAGTATATTTAGAGTTTTATGTAATGTGAATTAAGCTTTGTTTATTCAAGGCATTAATTTATGGAGATCACTGTGATTGCTTTATTGTGTTGCTAATGTAAAAACAGTGAGTAAACTCCCCAAAGAGCTCCATTTCCTTTAGGGAGGAAAATATTGGTGTGCCCTGTAGCTCTGATTCATACTGCTATTGTAAAGTCAGCCAGCTGTGAGATGTATGTGGAGGCAGCAGATGATAAATGTGTTCTAATAGTGCAGTATACAGTGTTTCCATAAAAATTCTTCAGTAGTATCCAAGGACATAAAACAGTCCATCAATAAATACCAACTTCAAATGGTTTTAAACCAGGCTAAGGCTGTTTTAGTGCACAGTTGTACAGGCTATCTCAAGTTTTCCCCATGATAGTTCCAGAATCTGTTTTTAGTCTGTGATCATCATCCCATTGAGAATGTTGGTTCTGATAAAAATCCTTATTGATTTACAGTATTCTCAGCTCCAGTTGCAGACAAGAAATGAGTGAGTCTCCTGCTTTTATTACTTAGGATATAATTGTGTGTTTATTGAAGTAATTAGCTTTGAGAGGTTTTACTTAGGGTATATATTTTCTGCAGGATTAAAATGAACTTTGATTGCTTATGCATCACACGGTTTCCTTTTTTTGTGGTGGATCTCTCAGTCAGGGCTGTTTAATTCAAATGCAGCTGCAGAATAAAACCCATAGGCCCTTTACTGGCACACTGAAGACAAAGCTGCTACAACATGATGTGCCTTCATCATCCACAGCTTCAAAGATGTAACATTGGAAGACCCACCTCAGTAGTTCCTACCCTTTCTGTAAAGCAAGCAGGAACAACTGAAGTGAATTTTTCAATGCCACACCAAATAGGAACAACTGAAATGAGACTGCCAGGCTGTTCCCACCTACTTTATGTAGAGGGAAGGAACAGTACATCTGTGATGCAGATAATCTCTAATTCTTTTTGTGAAATTTCCTCTGGAGAACTGCAGATTACTTGCACAAAAAATATTGTAAGGAACCATACTTTAGTCCTACGTGTGGCTCCAATGATAAAACAACTGAGAATGAGAAGTTTCAGTGCAGGGTCTCCCCATCAGAAGAGAGCTTAAAGACTCCTATTGTAAACTTCCTGCTAGAGTTATGTTCAACCAGAGTGCTGGTTGCAGTACCCTCCTGCCTCCTAATTCCACTCTCCTCACATATTTGGTTAGAAAGGACTTAATGGTAGAGGGATATTTTCTTCATTTAGGAGAGGGAGAAGATTAGATGATCTATTCTAAAAGAAAGAATACACATTAATTGAGTAAACTATCAGTAACACACACACTGCCCAGATCTCTACACTTCAAACTATTTAGAGTATTAAAAAAGAAAAGAAGGTGGAAGATTAGGGTTAAAAATATGGTTTAACTGAGTTCTGTACAATTTCCATATGCCTTTAATGGCCTAGAGGTAAAGCCCAATAAAACCACTAGAAGCAGTGAAATCATAATGAAAGATCTCGAGGTCAGTTTTGTTTTTCTTTTGGTTTTGCCATCTAGCCCATACAGTATTTGTAGCTGATGTAATTTGAGATATCTGTGAACATAAAACACTTTTTGTTTTGCTTTCCCCGCTTTTTCCATCTTATTAAAATACCCATCTTTGGGGGGGGGGGGAAACCACCAACTGGAGATATTACATCCTTAGTAGGGAAGTTCTAAGGCAACAATTAACTACAGTATGTTTCATGTGGTGGGTCACATTGTGGCTTTCAGCTAGTGTTGTTTGCATGCACATACAAGCATATACTTCATTTCTAAATGAAATGCAGATACCTCTTTGTGATGCAAGATGACTGCATTTATAGAAACAGATGTAGAACTCTGTATTGTAAAGGAAAAAAAACCATGCTATAATAGAACCTGAAAAGGAAAACTAAGGCCTATCCTGAGCTCTTCTGTATTTCCCAGTGGCATGGGAAATCTAGGGTTTTGTAATAACTGAAAGTCATTCTTCAGCAACAACATTTGCTTGTTCTTGTGCTGAACTGAATGTTCAGTGCTGGTTTGGATGGCAGCGCACGCTGTCCCACAAAAAGCATTTGTGAGAATCCAAATAACTTTTCATAATATCACAAACAAGAGAAGGAAAAATGTCATTCCATTAACGGTGTAGTCTGTTCAGTAGTTTTCAGCGAGTGAGAGGTAGCCAAGACTTGGCCATGTGTCCCAGCTGTTTGTGAACACATGTAACCCTGCCTGCTTTGCCTTTAGTGTCTATTCACAAGCAGAAGCTTTGAGGAGAGAAGGGTGGCTTGCTCCATCCCTACATCTTCAGCTGTTGGTATCCTCACCTTGGAGCCAACAAGGAAAAGAGATTTGATACTATTGCAAGGGAAGAAATCATTACACACTCTTCACCTAGCAGTACTCACCATCTTATCTCTTTGAAGCCTTCTTCGTTCCTTCCCCCAAATACCACTCAGTAACAGACTGCTGTTGTTTTTACTTTTGCAGCCTATAAAATATCTGAAATATTCTGTGTCACAGATCTGCCAAAGGTCTCAGCTGTGCCAAATCCATTCCCATGAATCATCATGTGGGCTATGGAGATGTAACTGTTGCTAGTATATAAATGATGGAATCTGAAGTTTTGTCACCTAGAAAAGTGACAGTTCCTGTAAATATTCTGGATAGTGATTCTGTGCTTCCAGAGAGACAGAAGTAATCCAGGGTAACCAGATGAGACCCCTGATTGTTGACATGTTGGCAGCTGATTCATACTTGCTGTGCAACACCCTGTTGAATTAAAAAGTGTGTTTTCTTTGTTTACAGACGGGAAGCAAGCCCTACATTCTTGTGGTCTTTTGACCACAGATCACATGAGAAGTCTGAGGTAGTGAATAATGACCACTAAAGCAGTGATCAGCCTTCTTGTTCTATTTCTCTCTCCTATTTGGGGTTATGTGGAACAAACTCTCTTATGAATTCCTGAAGTATCATTCAGCATGCTCCAAAGCACTTAGTAAGGGATGGAATTTGAGCATCTTTAGCCATCGTAGGCTAAAGTGAGAAATTTAATACATACATTTCATTTGCAACCCAGCCCTTAGAGAATAGATGCATTCAGGTAATCTCTTCTGTGGATTCCTTTAAGAGTGCTGCAAAATCAGGTATTTTTCAGCTGTTAATATTATTGCAAAAATTACTGCAAAAAGATGTTGATTTTTCTCCTCAGCTGGAAGGCTACAATCTCAGCCAGCTTAGTGCCTGGAGGGGAAAACCAGCAATTCCTCATGGCCACTGCCACTGTAATGAAAGGGAGCTGTCTTGATGTAAAAATGCACCTGGGCTTTCACTAGAGACAGCCACAGGAGTACTCAGCATTGTGCATGATCAAAGGCTGCCTGAGTTTTCCAGACCCAGTTCAGTTCCCAGGTTACACATTTTGCTTGCACACAGCAACCTTCTGTTAGTAGTTACTTCATTTCTTTGTGGAAAGCACAAGAAAGACTGAAGTCATTTTCAAGGCTATCCATCTGGCTTGAAGACCTAACTTTCCGACTGCCCAGAAAATATGTCAGATCTGCTCTGCCGTTGATTTTTGTTGTAGAGTTGAAAGAGAGAGCTCATCAAATAGGGATGCTACAGAGCTACTGTGTTTTCTAAGTGCTTTAGAACTGCATGTGTAACATGGAGAGAGACTACACAATTCGTTTCAACAAGTTATTAAATTATTGTATTTGTATATTGGGATTTGTATATAGTACCAATTCAGGTGCTATAAATAAGCTTAGCTGCAATTAAGACATCAGTTCCATGAACAGCTGTATTTGAGCTGGCAACCAGAAGCTCCAGGAGCCAGTGGGATGTGTGAGTGCCCCGGCTGGGGCTTCTTCTCTCAGTTCTAATTTTTGCACAAGGATCCATTACAGAAATTTGGCTCTTCAGAGCTTCCTGGATGTTGGCAAAATCCTCAGAAACCAGATTTCGGATGTCTTTGATTTTTATACCGCAAGTCTGCAGCATGTCTTCTCAGTAGTATCTCCAGAATAATGCAGCTGCAGATGAACCAACATAAAACTAGCGTCTCTGATAAATATGTGTTAATTTGGGTAATTTCTCCAATTATTCCTTCCATAGCTGTATCTAATACATCATCCTTCTTCATTTTCTTCTCTCCTTCCAGCATGCTCCCTAGGCTGTCATGAGTATGCTTTTAATAGCTAAGTTCCCTTTCCTCTCAGCAGGGGGAGGTAACTTCAAAATGCCATTGAATGTTGCCAGTTAAGAAATATGTTCCTCCCACATGTACTTGAATGTATTCCATGCAAACTGTAGTAATTAGTGATTGATTGATTTTTACATAAATGTTTTGAGTTTGTGAGGGTCATGTGCTTGCTTATATGCTCTGACAGTGGGAGAAAGATATTTACCAGCACGAAGCCTGCACTCCAACTCAATGGTCAGCAGCTCCATTATTTTTATCGGACTGAAGTGCAGTTATAGCTGGAAAATATGAACAGATCTGTACATGCAAATATGCTGTGGAACCTGCTGCTAGCCGAATTGCACCGTGTGTCAAGCTGCTTGACAACAAACACCATGAGACACAGAAAACAGCAAACATGGAGGAAAGCTCATAGTAAAAAATGCTATAACCTCAGTCTTTGATTCTGTACAGCTAACAGTAGTGTCTCATGTCTCATAACACAGAATGACTGCAGTAGCAGTCAGATGCTGCAGTCAAGTTCATGCTATGCTGAGCTGCATATACACATTTACCAGAATGAAGAATAAAGTGCTGCAGTCTGCTAAATTGGCATAATTTTTAGGATGAATGGGAGGCAAGTATTGGTATAAAACCGAAGTTTAAGACAGATATATATAAAACAATATAAAGTAACAATTCATTTCAAAGTTGCAAAGCAAAACTGGACAGTCTGTGAATAGAGTTTGTATGCAGAAGGCTAATTTTAAAATGTCCTGTTGATTCCATAAAACTGCCCTTCACACATGAGACTTCCCATTCCCTACATGCCAAATAAGAGTAGAAGGGGGTACAGCTGTGGGTTTCAGTATTGTGCAGGGCTTGTGCACCACAAACAGCTGCTTCTGTTGCTGATTTATCCATCTGAAGTTCACCTTGTAGAAGTCACACAGCTCCTTTGCACTGGAGTTGGCTTGGATATCTGGAGATGTTCCTATGCTAAAGGGTGGCACGCTGGATTAACTGGCTCAGGCAAGCAGGCAAAGGGATTTGCACTTTGCAGTCAGCCAAAAGTTATATGTGGATGGAGAGGAAGGTGGTGGTAAGGCTGGCAGCACTTTCCGCTTGGCAAACCAAGGTGCTTTGGCACAGGGTGTGGGCAGACCCATCCAAAATCTCCTCGTTTGGAACTAGGTATTTAAAATCTTGGATCTACATGGCCTTTCTTCATCATTTCTCTCCATTCAAAGTGACTGTAAAGTGACAGTGCTGGCACAGCCAGTGTGCAGAGATCCTGCCCTCTCCACGTGAGCTTACACTGCTTCATCCCTGTCTGCTTGTTCCTGTCCCTGTGTCACCCCTCCACTTGTGTTGACACAACTGTTTGTTAGGACTGCACTAAAAACATATGTGAACTGGTTTGAATTAAAACTGCTCTTCATCTGCTTATTCATCTGGCCTCCTAACTAGTTGGGTCTGTACAGCTGGGGAGGAGGGGAGACCTGGGGAGGCTGAGGTCAAAGCAAGATGCTGTCTGCTGGCTGGTGCTGCTGCCCACTCAGAGAGCTTCAGCCCCCTGAAATCACACATTTTAATGGCACTGCAGAGCAGGTGCATTACAGGGCTTCTTCAGAGCAAATTGTTCTGAATAATGTCAGGTTTTTTTTATTCTACATGTTCTGTGTTCATTGTTCTTCACTCTAGGATCAATCAGGAAAATAGTTACCATAATTTCTATTAAAGTTGGACACCTCTTGATTACAGATTAATTGCCTTGAGTACCTGACAACTGTCTGAAAAGCTCTGAGCAAACAAAAAGTGATTATTTAACAAGCAACCAGGAGGAGTGACTGCACTGGGATGTGAGGGATGGGCGTTTGTGCAAAATACAAATTGGGCAGAGGGCACATCAGCAGTGAAATTGTGTAAGAGGCCTCTTGCAAAGTGTCCATACACAACAAAAACAACTGTATTAATTGTATTGCTGCTACAATCTACAAATCTCCCCCTTTGTGATGGGAAACTGCTGAATGGTGGCATACGCTGTTTTGAAATGGACAAAAAAGAAGCAAGTCTCAAGGTCAGACCTTGTGAAAGCAACGGGGACTTGGACCTCTGGAATTATGGGCAAATAAAATGTATTTGTTGGTTCTGGCTTCACCATTTGAAATTTAAGCTACCTCTACACTACAGCCATCTGAAGTAACTAATTAGTGTGTAGGAAAAGAATTTTCTGAACAAGGACCCCTCAAAGAAGTGAATATGCACATGCCAGGAAAACCACTAATCATGTGAATGAATCATTCCTACTTCTGGCAAGTGTAGGCATTGTCCTTTTTGACTGGGTTCTTTTTTGCTGTAGGTGGGAGAAGAGTATTAGAATAGCAAGCACGTGTTATCTGAAACTGACCTGTCCTAAGCAGCTACATGTAATATGTCAAGTGTCTTGGTAGGAACTGGTATGTAATCTCTGGATCAACCTCCAATTTTAAAAAGGTCTCCTCACTTCCCCTGTTCTTTTTGGAAGAGAAAGAAGGCACCAATGGTAGAAGTGCACAGACAGCCTGGTTTTGAAACGGCAAGTTTATTAAAAATGTTCTCTATCACAAACATTGGAAACAGCAGATTTTATTGTAACCGATTCAGTAGATTATGCAAGGGATATAACTTTCAATGTAGTTTGACCACTGAATCACGAAAAATAGCAGTCCAGTTTCCCCAGGAGACTCCCCACAAAACCCCAATGTTAGTCAGCATGGTGTTCTAGTTTGAGTTTGGTCTGCCCTTAGTATGAAGCGTACAGTTCAAGAGCTCGAGCTTCAAATTGGTACATATTTACACAGAAGGGCCTATGGGCTGCAGGGGAGGATACATTAGCACCAGTGCTTATGGATTTGGGCTCACACTGCCTCTGCCACTGTGTGTGCATGGTACTGAATCTACTGAAGAGCTAGGTTAAAAAAAGGTTAACAAATCTGGCACTTGGAAGGCAAACTGTGCTTTTCAGTGACTTAGGATCGCGGTGTTACGTATCACACTTGAATGCCTGTCTCTGAAAGCTGCCCCTCGGAATTACCTTGCTGTGCTCGCTTGCAAAAATGTAGACTTTGCTTCACCTTGGCTTGAGGTGTTGTTTGGTCATATGTACAACATTTTGAGATCAGGAAATCAGTGTGATTTTCTTACAGCTGTTCTAAAACTAAACACAAAGTCTGTAGTTAAAGAATCCTAGACAAAATTAGTTTCTTTAGTAGTTTTGGTGAAACATTTTTACAGAGCAAAAAAGAGATATAAATACAGTGTTTGCAATTACTCAGATTCACAAAAAAGGCTTTGGTTAGAAAACCAGAAAGGGACAAATAAAAAAAAAATAATTAAAAAAACGAAGCCAAAGGAGTGTCAAATACTATAGTGGAGTCAAATGAGTGCAGAATAAAACAGCAGCCATCCATTAGTTATTTTTTCAGTATTGAAATCTTCCACCTAAAGAAGCCCGTGTCTCTTGCAAGCTGTGTGCCTTTCCTGACGTTCACAGCTGGTCCCCTTGCTCCGGTACAAGCAGAGTGGTGAGAATTCCACGTTTTTCTGTTCAAGGCAAAGAGTCCCTCTTCCAGCTGTGAGGTAGAGATTGGGTCACTGGGGTATGAGATACCACTGTGTGTAGCAGTTACACATTCGTTTCTAGTTCATTTATTTCAATAGTGCAGTGGTCTTTACTGTTGGATTTCTTAGTGTGGTTCTCCACTGGGCTTTCTTCTTGCTCCACTTGTACAGGTATGTGTTGCTCTAACTCCTTCACTGTTTCTGGTCCACGAGGCTCATTCATGGTCTTCACACAGCCGTTTCTCTGGTAAGCCACAATCGGGTGGATGTTAAGAGGTTTAGTCTCACAGATCAATGGCACCTATGTGAAAAGCAGTAAGATTTGGAATACAGCCACTCTTTGCTGTATACAAAAGGCAGGGAATTTTTACTTTGGAAGCTTCTAATCTGCTTTGCATTCACCAAGATTACCTGGAGCCTCCACAGACTTTCAGGATCTGTTTCTTATATATACTAAAGTATCTTTGCACCACCTGGATAAAGTTAAGGAGTCTCGAAGTATGGAAAAATGCAAATTCTACTATAGCTCTAATTTAGCTGATACCCACAGTAACACCTTTTTGTATCAATAAGCAATACAAATAGTGTAAATAAAGACTAGAATTTCAGGTTTGAAAGATATGGGCTCAGTATGCTGAGCAGTGATTGCTCTTGAGTGCAATTATAGAAACCAGGAAATCATTTGACGTGGCTTTCTGCCTTTCTTCTAACCCAGTGTACCAGTACCTGTTGTTTCAGTTTGTTCTGTGTCAAAAGACATAAGAAGGATTTTATTGAGTGATTCAGATGTTAAATATTTAAGAGTCTTTTAAATCAAACCAGAAGTTCTGATGGGGAAAACAAGACATAAATATTGGAAAAGACGTGGGCTTGCAGCTGACAAAATTTGGCCTTTGGGCATACTTTACTAAGTCCACAAATTACTCTGCCAAAACTTATGGCAGACTAACAGTATATTTTAATAGAATTACGGAGTGAGATGCAAAGAAAAATCTCATCTCAGATGACTAAATAATCCCTTAGGAGGGATTTTATATTCTTGAAACATCTCTTCTTGAGTTCCAACGGAGTTCTAAATACAGCAGTGAAATGTCAGGCCTGCATTATGCACTCCTGGCTCTGTGCCTGATGACACACCTTACCATTAAGTTGTTGTGTGTTCACTTTTTTGTAACGAGCTGCACGTGTAGCCCGAGTATTCAGGCCTAATCCTGTCATCAGTAATTACTGCAGGTGCTAAGCACCTCTGAGGACAAGACCTTTACAAAACTTGAAAGAGTTGGAATTTTAAATGCATGTTCCAGGAAGGCCTGAGAGTGAGATTTATCAAAAGGACTGCCTGGACAATGGCAGAAATAATGCTGTCAATAAAACTTTGCTATTAGTACTGCCGTTTTTAAGTTCTGTAGGTGAGTAGAATATTCCAGATGACACACACAAATGAAACATGCCTTGTGAATGGCAGTCACTGCAAAGAACCTTTTCTATATAACCTGTCCTGGCCCTGCGAAAGAAAGCTCACAAAGGTCTGCCATGAAGCTGGAATGGTTGGGGATTGGCACCTCCCAGCATGGTGGGCTCAGGGATTTAGAAATCTCCTTTGCTGAGAACTGCAAGTGAGATTATGAGAAGGCATTCCAGGCATAAGAAAAGACTGAGTGATGCATGCCAAGAAAGAAGGGAAAAAAAGCATGGGAGTGGAGGGAGGCAGGGACAGATGTGGTAGACAGGGACAGGGAGGTAGATGTGCTGGCTGCTTTTGTTGTGAGCTTACTGTTTGTGCATATACACCCCTATGCACATTCCCAAGGGTTTGTCACCCCTTTCTGTTGCTGGTCCCACCTTCAGAAGCAGCACACCTTGTCAGGGCTTGGGTACTGAGTGCAGAGCTCAGCTCCAGCACTGTGTGTGTGTGCAGGACTGCACAGCTGCTGCTTCCTGCTCTGAGCCCCAGTGCACCAGATACAGGCTGCCAAGAGTTGAACTTGAGTGGCTTTTTGCATAAACCCACGAAGAAAAATTCCTCCACTCTATCTGTCTAAGCAGCCCATTGCCCAATTCTGCCCTCTGTCTGAAACACCTTTACATTTTGTTTGGAAACAAATATGGGAACTGATGGCTGGCAGGCTCTTTGCCGCACGCAGCACAGCACACACTGTCACACCCTGGCTCGTGGTGTTCTTACCTCATCACCATCCTTGATGAACTCCTTCCGGCAGATGTGGGCCATAATCCCTGCAGCCAGGGCATCTCCCAGGACGTTGATCATTGTTCTAAACCGGTCTCTGGTAAATGACAAAGTTAGTGTAAATTGTTGGCTCTTTGGCCAAATCGTTTGCCCATGCCTTCATCACTGCAGTATTTATAGCTGAAAATCAGTTTAGCTATTTTTACAAGACAACAAGTTCAGAAGTTAAGTTATTTATCTTCTCCACTGGGTTTTCCAACCTTTTCTGAGCTTAGTGCACTGTGCCTCCACACGTGCTCTGACCAGCACCTTGAGAACTCACTGAGAACTGCAGCCACCGCTGATGCAGTGGTTCCACAAAAACAAGGTCACGTATCCCACTAGTTTTATGGTTGTGTTGCTCTCTTTTTTTGTGTGTGTTAAAAAAAGAGATGGCAGCAGAAGGGCAGTCTGACAAAATGGAAGTGGAAGTGCGTATGAAGCTAAGGGTGGAATTGAATTCCTCCACGGGGAAAATATGGCACTCACTGACATTCATTGACAATTGCTCAGTGTTGATGGAGACCAAACCGTGGATGTGAACACAGTGAGGCAGTGAGTGGTGGTGTGTTTCAGCAGTGGTGACAACAGGTCACATTTACTGGTGCAGATTTTTACAGGCACAGCATGCAGCCTCTTGTTCATCGGTGGTGAAAATGTAAAGCTAATGATGATGACTGTGTTGAAAAATAGTGTTTTGTAGCTGAGAATTTATCAAGTAGTGCTATTATACTGTTTGTATCTGTCATAGTTTCCATGGAAATAAATAGCAGGCATTACTTTTGGTGAAACCTACAAATATGCTGCCCAACTCCTCTTCAGTCAGTGCTGCCCAGGCAAGCCAAAAGGACACCTGTGTGCTATTGCTTCCCTTTGCATGAGAACTGATCCAGCACTGGAAAGTCTTAGCACAGCAGATCAAGACTTCTGTTTTTTTATGTTGAGCTCCAGTGGTATGGCCTCATTTGGAGGCTGCTGATGCAAATGTCTTCATTCAGTACAAGTAAAGGGCAGCCAGTCCAAACAGTACCTTGTACTAGGTGTTAGTCTCAGTCCTGCATTCTTAAGCAATCTTCTCAGCAAGAAGATAATTGTATAAGTAGGAATTACAGAACACAATCAAAAGCTACTCAGAAGATTGCTAAATAACTAAACTCACAATCTATGCAGGGAGTGACCACTTTCTAACTTAAATCCTGTTCATTTCTGAAAAAAGCCACGGTTGCCATGGCACCTCTGGCTCCGAAGGATTCTTCATTTTCAGTTACCTTTTCTTCCAATTTCACTTTTTATGTTTGACAATATTGTGTATACACAATTTTCACTGTTTTCCATTGATTTATCTATGGAATCAGTTTTTCCCTTTTTTACATCTTTTACCCACCAACATCTTAAAAATATTGACTGTAAATACACAAGAGTAAGTGGTTACCATAGACAAGTGCTTCGCTTCAAACTGCTTGGAATCTATTAGTTAAAACTGGTGAGATTTCAAATAGATGATATAGTTTTTAAGGCTGAAATATATCACATTTTTCCAAGAAAAACATTAACATCTGAAAGCTGTGTCAAATTGGTAACTTAATTTATAAATGTGGGTTATAAAATGAAGGCTCAGAAATCTCCAGATGTTTGGCTTATTAAAGGTAGTGACAGTCCAATATCAACAATGCCCAGATTTCTGATCCTGTAACTTAATATAGAAAAAAAATTGAAACTGTGTGCTGATGTTTTTTTTCTCCATATATTTTAGGCATGTAATCTATGCATGCAAATGTTTGTGCAGTTGCTTGCCTAACTAGAAGAAAGAGTTCTTGCATGAAATGTTATTTGCCTGTGCTGTTATCCAAATCATACACACAATTGCAAGTAATTTCATCAGATTTCAGCACCTACACCTAAATGTGTTTGTTGAATTTAGGATCCAGTGCTAAAGTTGTTTGCTCACTCCATTTTTCTGCTACCTGTTTTTCTGAGTTTGGGTTTTGCCTTGAGGAAAGTTCCTACAACCATGTTTAGTTAACCAGGGAAAACTGTTACAGCACAAAGTGGGAGATGTTCCTGTTACACGTAGGCTTCTTCTTAGTTGACCATCAGATTTGGATTCATGGAAGGCTGTTCTGGAATGTTAATTTTGGACTGTGCAAAGAGCTGTGATGGAGAAGAAATTGTATGAGCAGAGCTCCAAAGTTTATACTCTCTATTGGTCTCTGATTAGGATCTGCTCTGAAGACAGAATTTTTTTGAGGAAACAGAGCACCATACTGAAACTCTTAAGAAAATTGATTGCCTGGCACACTGTTGGACCAGTCCTGCTCCATGTTCCTGTCTGCACACAGATGTCTGCACTACATGTGAGTAAAAACACATCACACACCACTGAAATTTCTCTACTAAGAGGCCAACTTGCTGCTCATAGTATTTCTTTCAATGCAAACACTTACAGCAAGTGTTGCAGTGGTATCTGAGTTTTAGAGAATATCATAATTAAAGATGCAAAACTTTTATCTTGTATTCAATAAATGAGATGAGAAACATTTTAATTTTCTTCTATTGTCTCCAGGTACCAGCAAAAGGTATGCAGTATATAGCACACATGTTATACCTACCTAAATAAGTTGTAATGCCTTTAATGCATTGTAATGGGTATTTCAGTCTTGTAAGATCACCTAATCAGCCTTCTTCAAGCATTCTTCATACTCTAGTGCTTCCAAAGCTAATATTGGAAATATTCACCATGTCAACCATGTTGACACTTCGCATCTGCAGACTCTTGAAACCAGGTGCTGAAATACTGAAATATACTTTGCATATGGAAGTTCATCCATGAAAGACAGAAAATTGAGTCTGTTCCTTGCTCACTTTTTGATCTGGAATATAGCCTGAGTGAGTTTTTTTGTCTGTTGTTTTGAGATGTTTTGTAAAACAAAAAGCAGAGTTCCCATATACACTGGAAGACTTACAGGAAAAACAATGAAATGCTGATGTTGCAAAAGCTGAGTGAAAACTAAGCAATATAAAGGGGAAAGGGTTTTGTAATACAGCTTAAAATACTTTGTGAGTTTTGTTGTGCTTCTACAACTATGGAGCTTCAATGACTAGTGGTAGAAAGGCTGCTTTATAAAATCTGAACAGCCATTCCCACATTTAGGTGCTCCCAGCAGATGCTATTTTTCCTTCACATGAGAATATTCCTGATATTTGTAAAATAAAGTGTGTCACAGAATATGCAAACAACACAATTCTCATATTCCTATTAGCAACAATAATATTCAATTACCATGGACAGGAAGGTTAGTAATTCCTTCTCACAGTTCTTTGTAGAAAAATGCAGTGACTTGCAGTTGAACAAAATGGGCACCATAACAGAATGGACTTGAGATACATTTTTATACAGAACTCTGACATAACTTCACTGCATTAAGATTGGTAATGGAAATATATTTCACACAGATAATTTTTTTTTAGAAAAGGACTGTTTCTTTGTGAATACATTTGCTAGTCATGTAATTATTTGAAATGCCATTGAGCTAGGAACCAGAATTTTACCAATCAATCATCTTCCTAGACTATTCAAAATATGTTTATTTGTTTATGGACATTGACATAACAAGATAAGTGTCCAAATAAATCACCTATTATGAATTTTTAAGTTGCTTCTTCTCATGGGTAACAGGAATCCCTTCTATTCTGAATACATCAAGTTTCAGCTTCTGTTTCTGCTGCAAATCCTCAGTGATTAGGAATCCAGCAAAGTAACTTCTGCACTGAAACCAGCCCTGGCAAAACACATTTCCTAGGAGTGTTGGCTCCTCATCCTTGTCCAAAATATGTACTTCCCATGCCTTTTAGGTATATTCATATTAATACCTTTGGAGAACATTTGGCTTTTTAGCAATGCTGCCACACTGGAAGCCTCAGAAGCTTAATGTTACTTACAGTGCCCAGTCAACAGCAATGATCAGTGTGATGTCATCTGTTGGGAGTCCAACTGAGGTCAGGACAATGACCATTGTCACCAGGCCAGCCTGGGGGATACCAGCAGCTCCTATGCTGGCAGCTGTCGCTGTGATGCTTTAACAAAGAGAGAAAGGAATAAGCTTTACCAGTGATGGATTGCTCTGCAAGAAACAAAACCATGTTTCTACAGGACCTTTCATAAACCAGTCCTTGTTATACAAGTCACATGCTGGTGTTTGGTGTACAGAAGCCAGCTCAAAGAACAAGGACAAGACAAACCTCTTCAATTTAGCACTGCCCAGTGCTAAATTCTCATCCTTTAGGTTTGCAGCCCTTCCTTTGGTAAGGAAGCTCTATGTTCTCCCTTAACCTTGCAAGTGAGGAGAAAGGAGGCTGCCGGGCTGTGGCTTCTGAGTGATGTCAGCTCTGGTGGGTCATGTCACCAGGAGCCTGCCAGTGCTGCTCCCCATGCTTTCAGCCTCAGCAGAAGAGCTCTCTGCAGACTTCTCTGAGTCATCACTCATGGCTCCTGTGCCAGGCAAATCCTGTGCTGGCAGCAGTGAAGGACTTTTATGTCAGTCCATCACACAGAAGCTAGGCCAAGGGTAAAGAGGCTGGGCCAAGGGTGAAGCTTGCATAGCACGTGGCTTTGCATACTTGGATCTAAATGCGAAGCAAGCACAAATGTGACTGTACCTCTTCAGTTTCAGGAAAGTATTTTTACTTGACCTTCACACCATTTTTTCAGCCAGGCAAGCAGAAATGAATGGGAGACCAGAGCAAGAGTGGACCTGGTGGGCCTAACATTTACTTCATAATGCTATCTTTAGGGGATGGATTTCATTCCTTTTTCCAGGAACAAAAGTGACTGCATATATTCACTCCCTCCTATATGGCCACTTCCAAGAACCAGGCCATCCAGCAGAGAGACAAAAAATGAATTTTGACTATTGTAAATGGATGACATAAAGTATATATGGTGATAATCCACTGCATTCATAGATCCAGAACTTCAGAGCTTTTGGCAAGCACCTAAGTCTCGTCAGCCTTCTTTGATGGAAAATGAGCATAACAGTATTCACCCGTATGGAAACTGAGACAGAGAGATATCTAATATCTTGCTCACAGCCATACAGTGTACCAGTAGAGCACCATAAGTATTTGTAACTAGAGCCCTTCCCTGAAATAAATACATTTGTGTGTGTGTGTGTGATGGGGGAAGAGAAAGATTTAAAACCGAATTTTGAAAAAGTTAGCATCTTAACAGCATTTTAGTAGGCATAGTATAGATAGGAAGGAAGGTACTGAAGCTCAGTGGCTGTGTAAGAGATAAGTATAATGAATATAAATAATGAAAATGGCTCTAAACTTGCTTGCTGATTAGAACTGCTTCTGCCTCCCAGGTCAGTTCAGGAAATAATGTCTTCTGATAGGGAGCAAAAATAAGAATGTTTATGCAACATTGTATAGGCAAGCTCGTCTGCTTCGCTACTGTATTTTGACCTTAACGTAGATGTTTCTTCCACTGAATGGCTCAGCTGATAAGAATGTGATCTTTATTCTCTTTTTCTGCCACGTTTAGGTTTGTATAATCCCACTGACATAAACTGCCAACCTGGATTTTATAAACTGTGAGCAGAATAGGCTGATTATTTTTCTAACTTTAAACAAAATTATCCTGGCATCCAGTATTTGAATTTCAACTCTCCACCTCCTAGAATATCTGGATTTAGGGAAAGTTTTGCCCATAGTTAAAAGTGGGCTTCGGATATTCTTTAGGTACTGAATCCACTGTGAATTCCTATTTTCTCTTCTTTTGTAACCCAGCTTTTTTCTTTCTTTTCCTTTTTGGGGGGAATTTTTCTAATCTTAATTTGCATTTTCCTTTTACTATCTTCACACTCACTATATTTTTTTGGTTGTTACATACCAGCACTTAATATAGGCAGTGAAAATAAAAAGATAAAAGAGGGTTCTGCTAAGTAAGAGTTAGAACTTACCTTCTTGCCATTTACCATCACCCTCCTTCCTCCTTCCTAATTTTTAAAATCACCATTCTCTGCTTCAAAATTCAGGTAATGTCTGCCCATAGTTTGAGCCATATTTTGGGACCACAGTCTAAAAAAATCCCCAAATTCAAAATCACAAAAGACTAAATGTTAGTACAGGAGCATTCCAATAATTTTTAGTGAGAAGGAGAGACAACCCAAAGCAAGAGCTCACATGGGCACAATTTATTTCTTCTGCTAACTGTAAGCAGATCTTGCCAGAAGTCCATCAGCAAGCTCCAGCTGTCATCTGGGGCTGGTTTCAGGACTTCTTCCTTTTTGTCATGAAGCTTTTCAAATCCAGCAGAGGATGGACAAGGCCCAGCAGAGTAAACAAGACAGTGATGAGGTCACTGGGTGGGTAAGTAAGCCGATCTCAAACGTGTTACACAAGGCTCTGACTGTGAAGAGTGTTTTTCTAATCATCTGGAAACCTACAGGTTTCAGTCCCTGAGGCATTCTTTGGAAGTCACTGGAGTTATTATGGCAATAATTGTTCAGCTGGATCTTTTCTTTTGGATCCATTACCAACCTTTCAAGGACAGCAGTATGCAGCTATAGCACACACTGACGGCATGGCTGTTCATGAAGGCTTCTGCTTTGACAAGCAGCAGAGAAGACATCTAAAAAATATCTGAGTGCTGTTTTGATGAAAACCTGACCTGAGAGTAGCATCCTTCTTCCTTCCCTGGCCCCACTCTCCCAAGTCTTGACAGAGCTTCCCAACACCCATTATTCCCTGTATCTGATACAGGGCTTTTAGCTTCTTTTTTTTTAATACCTTCTTCTTATGCAAAGATACAAACTAAAGTGAAAACTATTCTGAAGTTTAAAATATTATTTTCAACACCAATAATAATAATAGAATGTGCCAATTTCAGTAAATGATGGGTGTGCCTAAAGGTAAAAACTAGATAAATATTCTCAAACCTGCTATTTGCTGATGTCAGTGTGCTTCTTTTAAAAGGTACCAGTACAATTTCCCCGTCTACACTTCCTGATCTCCACATTAAAATGGCTCCACATCTCCACTTAAAAAATGGCTGTCCTATGAGAAATAAGTGCTTCAAAAATTGTGAACATGAGTTTTGTCCTGAACATTTCTAGACACAAGAATCATAAGAACATCACACTCATCTAGACAAGCAAATCTGGGTGTGTGGAATTTGAGGCTTATACCTTATAGTAATAATTTGCCCAAAATCCAGCTCATAGTTGTTTACTTGTGCAATGAAGATGGCAGCCACTGCTTCATAGAGTGCAGTCCCATCCATGTTGATGGTGGCTCCCACAGGCAGCACGAACCTTGCAATCCTCCTGTCCACGTGGTTGTTCTCCAGCAAGCACTTGAATGTGATAGGCAGCGTGGCTGAACTGCAACACAGTGGACAGAAATACACCAAAATTATTATTCTTTCTGGGGAACAGAATGAATTGTAGAAAACCTTCTCCAAAAAGGGTAAATTCTGCACTGAGGACTGCTTTGTACTCCTTGGTCTGCACATGTGACTCACTAGCACTGTAACTCATTTGCTTGAGTACTGGGGGATGAATCTAGTTGCACATACACATGCTAGAGTTATCTGCAAATTCTGCTTTCCAAAAAATTAAAATGTAATTCTTTTTTTCCCTCTTTCTGAAGAAAAGGGACAGAAATCCTGCAGAGGTAGTGTTGTACACTCAAATACGAGATAGAGAAAACACCCCCACAGCTTATTATTAAAACCTTTGAAAACTAATGTGCATTGTTTTTTAAGGAAGTTTCTCTCTAGGCTTTCTGAAATAGAAAGCCAATTTTGAGCAGCAAGAGTAGCCATAAGCTAAGAAAAGTACACACTAAGAAAGGCTCTTCACTTATGGCAAGGAAATGCTACATAAATACTTTAAAGTTATTTCTTAAAAGAGAGAAATAATCTGGGGGCAAATTTTCTGCTCTCTTGTGAGCTACTTGCCCGGTGTCTTCCCACTAGTATGCACAGTCTGAGTTGCTAAGTCACTGTGTTATGAGCATCAGATCAGTAATTTACCTCTGCTGTCTTACAGTGGCCATTATCTGTTCTTCATGGGAAAAAAAAACACACATTTGATCGACAAATTATTCTCAGATATTACATTTGATATACGAAGTCACAAGAGGTTCTGAAAGCCTTAGTAACTCCCATAACTCCAGAGTTTCAGGAATGCATTAGCAAAATGTTTCCTTGAGTAGGAGTTGTCATTTTGTATTTGTGCAAGCTGTTGTTTGAGGAAAAGCACAGTTAGTGTTTGGAAAGGAAAAGTAGCTTCCTGCAATAGAAATGCAGAAGGACCAAGAAAGGTTTATGACAGGATGCTTCCAGTGCAATCTTTCTGTTTTCCCTAGCTTTATCATGCCTGACAGGTGAATAATTTAATCACTGTGGTCCTTTTCAACCCAGGCCATTCTATGATTCTGTGATTCTATGATTTACTACAGTCCCTGCCCTGAATGTCTAGGCAAAAGAAATTCATTAGATGTGTAAACAAACAGAAAGGACAAGGAATCAAAAAATCTGTTTACCCCTGGGAAGCGGGTTATGTTCAACTTTTTCATACTGGCAGTCCTAATACTTAATCAATATTTACTTTGAAAATCAAACAGAGCAAAGCATAACACCTCAAACTACACACTACATGTCATTTCTCTCTTAGGCATGCATTTGCTTTTTTTTTTTTTTACACATTCATTTGTGAATGGCTGAATTTCTCTATATGTAGTTTATCATAAACTATTTATAAAATAAGCAGTAATGCAGGTAATGCAGATTATGCAGAACAGAAAATCCTGGTGCCCTAGCACAGACAACTGTTCTATACAGTGTCACTCAAATTCAGATCTCAGAGTTAGCAGAGTGTCTGTCCTAACTGTTGCTACTGAAAGAATTCCCATATTTAAGGGTTTGGCTCTGGTTAATCACAAGTAGTAGCAAAGAAAAAACAAAAAGCTTTCTACTATCATTTTTGAGTTATAGTCACACATGATTTCAATGGCTGAAGAAAAAAAAAAAAAACCATTTAATAGATATACACTAATTTGTCTATCCAGTTAAATTAACTGAACTTTGTGTGCTTGAAAGCAGCTTTATCCAGTAGTAAACAGAGTGGCAGAACCATGAAGGCCTGACATGTAACATTTATTTGGAGAAAAAATACTCTAAAGCACTGATCTTAATCTGCTAAGTCTTTTAAAACTTTCCTAAAGCTTTCAGCTCAGAGAGCTGTCTTCTCCCCATGCTAACTCTAACAATTAAAAATACATTTTTAGAGTCTTATCTCAATTTTGTTTTGGATAAAATGCTGCAGCTGGAGGGACTGAACATAAGCTAATGCTGGATCAGTCCAAGCTCTTAGTGGTGTGAGGCACAAAGACAGCTAGTCACTGTGGAAGAACAGCTGTTCAGTCTGCTCTGTTTATCTTATCATTCAAATGCATTTTGATATTTGCTCCAAAAAATCAACAAACTGATCTCATCTCCCCCTTTCGCTAAATCTGCCTTTAATTTACACTGTGCAATAGCCAAGATCTGAGTGTTTCATAAGCAGCAAAACCCTTGAACGAGTCATGTTTTATTGTTTGTCTTCAGAGAAGATGAAAATTGCTTCTTTTGATGAGATGTACCACTGAGAAGATGCTGATTTAATCCATTAATGGTATGGAAAGATGACCTAGAAAAAGAAAACTCCCTCATACCATTGGAATGAGGAAAGCTAAAAAACAGGAGGAATTTTTGTTTGTGGGCCAAATACTGCTTTTTTAATGCAGAGGTGACAAGATCAGGGTTAATGTGGGGGGAAGAAAGTGGCAGGTCTAAAATTCATGGCTATACAGAAACTTTCACTGAGGGGAAAATGGGTTGAAATAAAGTGCAGATCCAATGAAATCACTGCCACAAGATGACTGTTAAGTGGTTCTCAGGTTCCCTTGTGTTACATTCTTGGGTTTTGCACATGGTACTGTTTTTCCCCCATGCAGTTTGACTTTTAGCCTAGAAAGAAAGCTTTCCACAGGTGCAGACTAACTGGAATGAGTACCAGAACACTGATTTGTGGTTTTCTTTCTAACTTTAGATGTAGACATGAGCTGACAGAGAAACATCTGCAAGAAACCTATCAGTATACTTAAAACCAGCTCTTTGTTCTCCTCTTAGATGATCTGAAAATCCAATACCCACATGATGAGTGTTATATAATGCCCCCGTGGCAAGTATTATTTAACTGAATACAGATGTGTTGACTATTGGGAGAAGCAGCTCCCCTGTCCAGACCCAATTACTTGTGCATTTGTGCATGTTCTTTTGGCAAAAGCTCAGTTATGTGCAGTATCCATTCCTTTCAGTGTAATGAAGGTGAAAAGTTCAGCCATCTCTAGACAAGAAAAGCTATTTGAGAAGCAAAACATTAAAATCCACGTTGGGCCTATATGGATTTACAAAATATACACACTGGTAAAAAGAGGAAAACATTAAATTAATCAAAAGTGTCTGAGCCTCAAACCTGGAATTTCAGAGTCATTCCTTGGGGCTCTCTTTAACTTTGGTGGTAGCTTCTGCCAGTAGAGATAGCAAATCCCTTCTGGTAGCAAGTCCTGCTGGTGGCTGCTGACAGCCTGAGCTTCTGGCTGCTGCCAGAGCTTTTCCCAAAATTTGAAGCTCTGTCTGGTGCCTGCTGAGTACTTCACACTGGTTTTTCTGGGAACTTCCCTTGGAGCCAAACTCTGCCCATGAGGAGCTGAGCTCCTAAATGGATATGGGGGGTTCTAAGTGATTGAATGCTGCCTAAATGTTAAGCTTTGATGATCACTGTGATATGGAAGTCTTTTAGAAGGGCCAGCTTACACTTGCTAGAGGGCATGCATGTTCTTTCCTTATACTACTGCAAACAATCAAGAGAAAAAATAACTGATCTAAAAATCGCCAAACCAACTCCGACTTTCTCCAAGTTGTAATATAACTCTGGCACTCATGTAGAGCAAGGGAATCAAAACCCTGCAAAGCTTTGTAGATTCAGTTGTGTATTTTGGTTACTATATCACATCTGACTTTTTGTTTTATCACTATGACTAACGCTCATAGCATCAGAACATTTCCAGCTTTCAAATATACCATAACTAACCTGGACCTGAATATATTATAAACCGCAAAGAAAGCACTCTGTGTATGTCGAGGGATTTGACGCTCAAACAAGAGGCACAGCGTGGAGATAAGGTCCAATAAAGAAGCTGTGACCTGCTTTGATAGGAGACAGCTATTTAAAAGAGCACAAGCCCTAAAAGACCCCTAGATTAGTTAATTGGTTATAAAATCAAATTGCAATTATGGTGCAAAATAAGGAAAATTAAGAAAAGGAATCCAGTTTTAACTAAACCATACTTGATAATGGAATGAAAAAGTGAGCTGACTAAACTAAGGAAAAAAAAAAAGGACAAACTCTTGTATAGCTGATAAAGGAGGAACAGTTTTCTCTTTTTGTTCCCTAAAAACAGAAAAATTCAGATTAGATTTTTAAAGAAAAATATTTTTTTCCTAGAAAAAATATCTCTATTTCCTTATTCCTTTCTAGAAAAAGAAAATTAATGAAATAGCACAGAGAAAAAGCCAGGGTTGCCTACAATAGAGCACCTTCAGAAACAGAACTCCAAGAATTCCTAGAGGAGGAGGGCAGATAGTCAAGTGTGTCAAATATGAGAGTAAAGAACCTTTTCCAACAATAACATCTTTGAAAGTAAAATTAACATCTTATTTGAATGTGGGGATGTGACGACATCACAAACTTCAAGGTCTAATAAAACAGCCTGCCTTAGTTATATAAGCCTAATTAGAGTTTAAAACACCACCCAGCACATAATTTATTCTTGACTTTGTGTTTCTCAGCATGCTTCTCTTTATAGGTCAGTTTGGAGCAAACTATTAAATACGAAAACACCCTGTAAAGTGACACATGCTGGAAAGCCAATACATTACAACTGTGCTGAAATAATCACTCCCTCCTCTCCTTTCACTTAATGCCTATACATTCCTTCTGCTCTGCTTACTCTTGCCTTAATGTAAGTATATTCACGAGAGAAACAACCATCTGCATACGTGCTTCCTCCCACACATTACCTTATTGGACCTCATTGGAACTATAAGGAAATAATGAGCCCAATCAGGCCGGTGGAGTAGGGATGAATGTTTTAGGCTCTTTTCCCAAGTCTGGCACAGGTCTGGCACTACTTCAGTTTTCTCTTTTGCACTGTCCCTTGAGTACCTTGTACTGCTACTAATAAAAGCCACTTGTACCATATATTGATAGGTACAGCTGCTCTTAATTTCAGAGTAACAAGCCTCCAGCCACAGATGTGACAATGCTGTCTTTTTGTTATATCAGCTATGTGGAAACGTGGTTTGTGTTGTCCTTCATGTCTTATGCTCCATGATAGTCAATTCCAGGCCTTTCAAGGACCTTTCATGCACAAACTGGTCCACATTGGTGCTCTTTTTCTTAACCAGTTCATGAGCTGTTTCCCATTTCACTGTTCAGCTATGGTTGAAGTTTGTTGTACACTTTCCCTAAAAGGAATGTAAAAAATACTGTTCCTTGAGAACAGCTGAATATCTTTACACTGCTGGACAACAGCTTGCAACCACAGTCTTTTCTTAATGTACCCAAACCCAAAGACCAAGAAGAGTAGAAAGTGTAAAGTGTTTCCATATGACTGAACTAGGAGGCTCTCTACCAATTCCAAAAATGTATTCTGGACAAACTGTGTCCCTCAATATATTTTAACTTTGTAGAAACACAGAATTTGTATTTATAGAAAAACACCCTCATTACCTTTCTAGTCCTCTAAGAAAAATCATTTTTGTTCAATATTTTTTCAGGTGAGGGAAAATAATGTAACAAACACTGTCAAATAGCTTCCACTCATAGCGTCCAAATGTTGACAAACACACAAACACACACTGAAACTAGATAATACCTGGAGGAGGTGGCCAGAGCAATAAGCAAGGCTTGAAGAATCCCTCTGATAAAGACAATAGGATTCTTCTTGGTGATAAAGAAGTACATCATTGGCAGAATGAACAGGCCGTGCACAACCAGACCACACACTACAGTAATGGCGTAAAACCCCAGTTTCTTCCCAATGGCTGAAGGGTCATCCATTTCTAAGATTTTACCAGCAATTAGAAACACAATTCCAAATGGAAAGTACCTGAGAAAAAGAAATACAGTCATTAACAGGAGATAATTCACTTCTACCAAACAGCATAAGGGGGAAAACTCCTGTATCCCACTTTCAGTGTAGTAAAAGCATCTGCCCATAAATGACACAGCTGGACTCAGTTGTGTCAGACCAGATGTTCTTAGGCCCTGTCCCACACCTGAGGAGCAGACACGAAGCACTATTCCTACTGTTCCTTTACCTGGGGTAATATTGCTGGTCAGGAATAAACTTAAAATATTTGGGTTCAGAAAAAGACTCTGACTTTGTAGCTTAAGGTAGGTCATTTTCTTGGCAGCTAAGGAATGAGTCCCAGGCTCTGCTGTGCTGTTCATCCTGATGTGACAGCTGGAAACTGTTAAGTAGATGCTTATGCAGTCTTTGGAAGACATAAGAGAATTACCAATATGCATTAGACATGCTCTTGGACTGTCTGGGCAGAAGACTACCTAGTTTCTGAACTGTTGTGTTCACAGAGACTGCTGAGCTAGCTGGAAGTACGTTGGCTGCGGTACAGATCCTGAGGTCCCATTAGCTCAACCAAGCTGAAACCAGGAGAGAATTTCTGTGGAGCTGTGCTATAAGGTATGCGAGTACTAGCCTGAGGTGCTCCTGTATGTGGGCTGGATGTATTATAATCCACCCACCCACCCAGCTACACTGTGCTGAGTGATATATTGGGTGCCTCTGTTAAGGGACAGGGTATTCCCACAAAACTAAGGGTTGTTCACTCTCATTTATTTCCCTTAAAATGGGAAATATTTATGCCATTTCTGTCAACATTTTTTTACTCTTTTTTAAAAAAAGCTTACTAACACTATTACTTACCAAACAGCAACTGCCACTATCTTCATGACAGATTCATTTAAACACTGACAAAAGCTGACCAAAGGAACACCACTGTTTCCCATTCTTCCCAACATTATACCTGCAAATGTAGACATTTGTGTTTAAATTCTCATGTGCCTTCATGCAAATCCCAGAGCTTTCCCTCCCTGCTATAACTCAAGGTAAATTAAGTGGGATATAGCTGGCTGAATATAGATGTTTGTGCAGTAGGAATAGACTATATATCTGAAAATCTCACCTGACGCAGACACAAAGCACTGGGGAGGCAAGGCACAACCTTTTTCTTTGGCTCCCTACAGGGCTCTGTCATCCACTTGACATGTTTGAGGTCTCAGTGTCTCAGGTTTGTTTGTAGCTACTACAGCCAGGGCTGACCCAACAGCTGGGGCTGTCATGTACGTGGCACTAGAGGCAGTACATTCTGTGCATCAGCCAGGAGGAAGCCAGCTCTCAGCTTCCATCTCTTCATTCCTGGGCCAGCAAGAGTTAGGGCATGGTAACAGTAATACATTCAGCTCTGTGAAGACAATGAGTGGTTTTCTAAGAAATCCTTGATTATAATAAGAATGTGTAATTAATTCATTCATGTCCAATAATTCTTGGCTGGAACATTGGTTGTGACACTGTGCTTTGGGAACTGGCTATAAGATATAAAACTGATGGGCAGCCAATTTCCAGTAGTGTTGCATATGGAATACCACATACTGGAGAAATTAAAAAGAGAGACAGATCTGCTGGTTTTGGACTTGGTTTTTGACCCCTTGTGCTTGTATGAACTGTAATGTAATAAATACAGTCAAAGATGTTTTATGGAACAAGAAGACCATAGAGGACCACGATAAGTTCGAAGAAGAAATTAGATAGTAGATAAAGAAGACTGTATCAGCTTTTTCCTGTAATAATCATCAGAACATAACCTTTGTCATTGTTAAGTAGGGCATATTAAGGGAGTGGTTAAAGTCCCTCTTCCTAGTTCACAAAGATAACATACCATACGTGGCAACAGTGTTTCTTCAGCAAGTGAAACTAAATAAATCAGCTAGAGAGAAGCTCTTCCAGTTCACTGAGATAAGCTACTAGATGGTATATAAGCATTGCACAATGAAAAAATTAAAATAATGAAGTTTCAATAAAAGACAGGATCCAGAATTTAAAGCTGATTAAACATTATTCCTCTGAAACTCACCCGTCATATCTCTGAGGCTTATTATCTGAACTGTCCTCTTAGACAGGGAAATGATAGTTATATTTTACACTAATAATGTAATAAAACTGTGATTAAGAATGGATGAGAACGACAGGAAAGACTCCAAGGCAAAAAACAATTTACTGCTTGCTAAGGAGAACTTTAGTTCTCCTCGGACCTTGTCTGGAAGTAGGTTATTTTTATTCAGGAAACCCAACACCCCAACCTTCATCTTTTTCTCGTAAATGGATTCTTGGATTATTGCAAACCAACATGTCTGAAACCTACCCATTGTTGCAGAGAATATGACAATCCCTAGCACATTCATGCCATCACTAGTGCCTGGTTCTGATTTGTAAATCACTTCAGGTGGAGGAGTGATGTCCAAGGCAAAATTCTGGACATTGGATCCATTCTCATCTTGGACTCCATATATTATAATGCGATGAGTTGTGCTTTCAGATGATGCTTTGTTAGCTTTAATGATGGGAATACTCTTTGTGCGGTACTGAAAGAAAACAAAGGTTTTTTTTACTATAATATCCCAGCAGGAATTAATAGTTAAAAAGAGACTTCATAAGTTCTTTGTTAAATAAGGCTGTCTGTTAGGGGGAACAGCATGAAAAGAATAACAGCTGCTGACCCTATGTGTAGAAAATGTTGGATTTTTGGAAAAGCAAGAATCAGAATTGCCTAAAATCAGAGCCTTGTGCAGCAAACACATGATCTGACAGAGTTGGTTTAGATATTCTCTTGTATTTCCTTTCCTGCAGAACATAATTGGGAATTAGTTGCCAGGTGTTCGATTGCCCTTCTCTTTGCCTCATGGAGTTCCCATTAAATATTCCCACAGACAAAATAAATACAGCCATGCCTCTTGCTTACTCATAACTTTTGGATAAGATTTTCTGGCCAAATTCCAAATTTAGCAATTAAATTCTTCCTAAATACATTATTTTGTTGCTTTAGTTGGATATTGTATTCTGTTCTTCCTTTATGCAGTGGTACAGTGCCCTCGAGGAGCAGAGCAAAGAATAGAATGAAAATGGGGTCCACATATAGATTCCCCAGCACAACCAGGATGTGTACTGGCTCCAGTCTGGAAACAGCAGAGCTGTATTATTACAAGGCGAGATCTCTTAACTCATCCTCTCTGAGAAATGGCTATTGTATGGCCGACATAGCACAGCACTAGTCTGAAACACTTGCTGTACATTTTGCTACTCAGGCTTGATCCTCAAAACAATTTGAGGTTTGTAAAATATCTAGTTACATGGTATCTCAAAACAAACCTTAGAAAGCCATGCTATAGCAAAAATGTAACATCCCAAAGGTTTCTCTTGATAAAGAAATGGCAAAAGAATGTATCCATGGCCTAACCCACAGCTTTGCTCTAGATGGGAGCTCCAGGTTGATCTTTACTGGACTATTAAAATAATTCTGACCTACCAGTTGTACTCAGGCTGCAAGACTGCTGAGGCTAGTGGAAATGAACTCCTTAATTCTTAAATGCTCAAGGTACTTGTAATATCTGAGGTAATACACAGTATCTACATTTGGATTCTCTTTTATGAAGACGTATCATGTGCATCTTTCTATGATGCTGGCTCACCTTTTCAGAGGTAAAAGAACAATAGCCACTTACCTGCTTGAATGTGGCTTCAACAAGGTTGGCTGGAAACATGTTCCTAGAAATGAACAAATAAAATCAATTCTATGGAACTGAAGGCAATTTCTGTTTACTGGGTCTCAGGTCTACGAGATATTAGTTATTTACCCTTAACAAGAGATGAACACTGCAGGAGGCTGCTGTGCAGATGTGACTGACTCAGCAAGGCACAGCAGGGGGACAGTTCTTTAGAACTCATGTTTTGGGACTCATTTCTAAATACTGGAGTGAAACCCAGGAGCTCTAGTTTTAGTCTCTGGCTCAACCACTGTCTCTGTGTTGTAACTGACAACATAAATGGTGTAACTCCCATCCCCATCTAACTGGGGAGAAGAATATTTCTTTATTCTGTATTTTGTCTTGCTTATTTAGATAATGAGCTATTCAAGAAAGAATCAAAGTTCACAGATGTACTCCTGAGATCCTTGGGTGCTGTAATCTTTGGGACATTAAGCAATGCTGTGAGAAGACCTACAAGCAGTAGTATGTCCTGATACATTTTCATTACTAAACTTCTAAGCAGTATAGCTTTTGCAGAGGTTTGGTCACAAACAGTTTGCATTTCAAACAGATTATCTGATTCCTGATTAAAAGAATTGAGATTAGAGCTGCACAGTCTCTGCTAATTTTTAGTTTTGTCCTGAGGCTCCAGAACAAAAGACTGACATGAGGCAAACAGTTTCATCTGTGCTGACAGCTGAACTATAGCCCAAAATAATGACCGTACACTCTGACATCTGCAGTGAAACGGGAATATTTTTAATTCCAAAGGAGACTCTTGTTATTTTTTCTGACTTTATCTCAGACCATAACATTTCACCTAATAATACCTGGAGTTAATTTATAACTTCTGTTTGAACTAGATTATTACCTTGTAGAAAGTTATTTAATCCGAATTTGAAATGGAGAGCGCACCCTCTACAGGCTTCAAAGAGGAACAATTTTTTTTTTCAGCAAAAAAACTGAAAAATCATATATTTGCATGTAGCTTGGGAATCAAATTTGGGAATCAATATTTGTATGATTACTCTTAATAGTCCTAATAGAACTGCTTTATTTTCAACAGCACCAAATGTCTGAACCTAAAGGCAAAAGACAGTGGTACGCTGCGACCCAGTTCTATGTTTTCACATAAACTTATGCAAAGAGAGTAATTCCTGAATTCTTCTGAGTTTTCTGACCAACTCAAGCTTCAAGACAAGACAACTCTTAAGCATATGTGAAAAGGCTATTGTTATTCTAAGGAGAATTGCTAACTGTGCATATAGTTAAATGCGTGACAGACTGAGACATTTCCCAGATCTGTTTTCCTCTTTGCACCAGCAGCACGTGTGTGCAGCACTGGCTTAGAAAAAAACACTTTTATTACTGTTTTAAGTCATGATAATGTCACGTCATGCTTACACCTCAAATTATGAGGTGAAGTCTGTTTCAGTACCAACAGATGGAGCAATTACTACAAACAGGGAATTGATCTTTTCAGAGTAAAACAGAGGAAGAAGAATTTGAATTACAGGTCAGCAGCACTGTCTAATGATTGAAGCAGAAGACTGAAAATGAGTTGTAGTGTTGGCCCTCTGTGAGAGCAGACAAGCTGAGTGAAGGCATCCTTTGCCATCTTGGTAAGGCTGTTGCCTTAGGGCACAGTAATTAATATCAGGTGAGCTCATGATGATGCACAGCACTTCTGGCCCTTTCTCATGCCAGTGGAGGCGAGGCAGCTCGGATGACCTTCCCTTGCCACCTGAAGTGGGATGCTGTGGGATCACAGCATCTGTAAGCTGGATTGTACATTGGCAATGTCTCCTTACATTTTACCTGTCCTGCTTAAGAGCCCCAGGCATGATGATGGCTGCATCCTGCAGGGACATGAGATTAGAAGGCTCTCCCCCATAATCAACTTGTCATAAGGTTCAGTTAGCAAGACTTAGTTAAATTAATGCAGTTCCCTTGCTCACACCATTGTTTAATTAGAATTATTTAGCTTAAGGCACTCACTGTGCAGTGTTCCAGTGATCACTGGAACAGGCTGCCCAGGGAGGTTGTGGAGTCTCCTTCTCTGGAGATATTCAAGACCTGCCTGGACACCTATTTGTGTGACCTGGTGTAGGGAACCTGCTTTGGCAGGGGGGTTGGACTCAATGATCTCTGGAGGTCCTTTCCAACCTCTACAATTCTGTGATTCTGTGATTCTGTGATTCTGATGTGGTTAGTGACAAGCAGTGCTCACTACGCTACTGCAAGTCTGACTGCTTTCACTTCTGTAACAGCAGTGCAAAGCACTGAGTTATCTCTGCAAACTTTCCATAAAAGCAGATCATTCTCTGGTTCAAGTGTCAAATCTTTAGCCAAAACAAGATACAGACAACAGCCAGATGTGCATCGCTTTCCTATCAGATGCAGACACAGCCCTTTGCCTGAGCCCCAGGACCTTGGCTGAGGCAGGGGACTAGCTGAAGGACAGCTGGATGGAGCTGGACCTAAGAGAGATGGAGAGGAGGTTTATGGGAGAGGGAGAAGTTTGTTACTGCCTTAGCATGCCTCATAAGGGAATTCTGCTTCTACACTGTTAGAGAGTTCATTAATATTAAACTGCACTTTTTTATGATTTGTGATGATCAGATATAAAGTGCTATGGGATTGCAAAGTGATAATGTAATTATTGTGACATAACCTGCTGTAACCTACTGTGTGATGTGGATTATTCTGAGGAATGGAATCACACTGAGCAGTCCTGCTTAGGTCTTACATGTCACGTACAAGACAGCACTACAAAGAAATATGTATTTAATTGCTGATGATTTCTACTTTCTATCTCTGCTTTATAGTCTTAATTAGAAGAATTAAGAACAAACTGAGACTGCTCCAGAAAGGAAATATCATACAGTTAGTAGCAAGATTAACTGTTAGACAAATTTGTGGAGGATTAAAGCATTTTATTTCTTTATCATTCTTTATCCTGCAGGAATTACAACTACCCACATAATTCTGGATCCTGGAATGCTCCCAATAATTTTTAATATATTATGTACTGTGATCCAGTCTTTGAGACACAATTTATCTAGTGAATGGTTGACCTGAATGTGTTTGCCAGAACTTCAGCTTATTTTTTATTTTAAGCTGGTTTACTTGGATTGAAAAAATCCAGTATTAGCCAAAATTTAGTTTTGTTAATTAAAAACACTGAAGGGAGCAATCTGTGGAAGAAAACTCTAATGGACCAAAAACAAATAATAAGGAAGTATGAAACAGCCACAGATTCTCAGGAGATGAGTGGGAGTTTATGGATTCAGACAGGCCTCTTGGGAAACATCTGACAAAGCCTTGCTGTAGAGATACACCTTGCTGCATGCTGATATTTGTCCTCCTCTCTTACAGGCATCCAACTTGAAATCAGACCAGCCCTGCCACATCTCTACTACCTTCACAACGATGAAGTTATACCCACATGGATCTGGTATCAGGATCATAAAGTGAAGCTGTCCCTTTACTCAGAACAGGTACTGTGTTTATCACTGTCATATGCTGCATTAAAGACACAGTCAGTACTTAAGAAATAATAATTGTTGGTGCCACCACCTATAAATGCTCTGGTGTTTATTCAATTAAGAGAGCTAAGCAGATTAAATATTTCTAGATTTCCAGTTCTACTCTCTGATTGCTTATAAAATCCGGAACACAAAATAAGACTGTGGGAAACAAAGTGATCTAGGAGTCATTTCTCAAGCACAACTGATTGTTTCTAACCTCAGGGACACAATTGGGCATTCTTGACAAAAATAATTTCACACAATAATAGAGAATTATATATAGTGAAGAAAAGTGAGAGAGATTGGTGCTGAACATGTGTACATTTAGGTCTAAGACAAGGATATGACTGTAAAACAGAAACTGAGAAATGTGGCTTTTGGTTATGTAAAATAATTAAGAGCTAAATTCTATCTGTCCTGAGGAAGAACAGAGGATGCACTTCCCAGAGCATCTTCTACTTCAGGAATTCTGCCAGACAGAGCAGATGAGTTTAACATAGGTTGAAAGAGTGTATATATATGAAGCTTCAATATGAACTTTCTATAGACCAGACTTACTACTGAAGCACAGATGGCACTGCTAGCCTGTATTTGCTGCGCTATCAGCATATACAGATGAATGAACTATTAAACACTTCTTAATGTATCCTGCTGTGATGCACAGGCTGGTCTATTCTACTAGCAAATTTTGGAATCCTTCCCTTGTTTTTGTATGAGATGAGGATTCAGGCATAAGGATATACCAACAGTTAGAAACATGCATGCATGACTAAAGCAACAGGTGTTCTGCAATTAGGTAGCCATGGAATTTAAAGAAAATCCTGCAGACTTGTAGCAAACACGGATGGTTCTAAGGAGCTGCTCTGAGGGTGCAGCTTGTAATACATGTAAAACTATTTAGCACCTTGTCACTGCTAATGGGAGGCCTTTTTCCCTTCTCCATTGTCTCCCAGTAATTAATCTAGCAATTAACATTACTCACTCATTTTTGCTCCCTTAACTTTCTGCTCTTTTAGGAAGCTAAATTGTTTTAGAAAATCATTTTTCAGCTCAGGCAATGCTTTGGTAGTGCCCCCCAGGATATGAGTGCCCTCCTGCTCTCTTCAAAACGTTGCTGACTCCAAGAAGTATGGTAGTGAGACTATTTTCTTGCTCATGCATTTATCCAAATAATCCATGAAACACAAGTATACCGCTATTGGAATAGACAGTTTGATGGCTTCTGGAAAACTTCTATTACAAATAAAAGGCCAAATTCTGGTTATAATTATACTACTGAATGTCTGAAATACTCATTTGGAGTCCTGACCACATCATCTGTTGATTCAAAGCACTTGGTTTTTGCAGATCTTTTTAAAGAAGTTAGGCCAGCAGCCACAGGTACAGCAGATGTTTCCTTGATTCAGAACACCCATTCCCTCTGGGGCACTCTGTGCTCTGCAGCAGCAATCTGGTTTTGCTCTTAGTCTTTGATGTTATCAGTACCTAA